AGGAAGGAAGGAAGGAAGGAAGGAAGGAAGGAAGGAAGGAAGGAAGGAAGGGGCAGGTAAAAAAAAACTCACCGGTCATGGTGGCTCATGCCTGTAATCCTAGCACTTTGCGAGGCTGAGGTGGGCAGATCACTTGAGATCAGGAGTTCCCAACCAGCCTGGTCAACATGATGAAACCCTGTTCTATTAAAAATACAAAAATTAGCCAGAAATTCCTTGAACCTGGGAGATGGAGGTTGCAGTGGGCCGAGATCATGCCACTGCACTCCAGCCTTGGCAACAGAGCAAGATTCCATCTCAAAAAATATATATATAAAGAAAAAAAAAAAAAAAAAACCTAATTAGATATCCTGTTATATTCTATCCACAAACGAATGAATCATTTGTGCACTCTCTGTGGATGGTCATTTCTACTGCTGGACTATAATGAACGCAACCTCTGGGGCTAGACAGAGCTAGTCTTACAGCCCTGGCTTCAGTTCCCTGCCCTGCCATTTACTAGTTGAGTTACATTTATTCATTCAGTAAAATGTCAGGAATGCAATGGAAAATAAGACACAACCTTCAAGAAACTCATAGTGGCCAGGCGTAGTGGCTCAAGCCTGTAATCCAAGCACTTTGGAGGCCAAGGCAGGCAGATCACCTGACCAGCATGTTCAAGACCAGCCTGCCAACATGGTGAAACCCTGTCTTTAAAAAAAAAAGAAAGAAAGAAACTCATAGTAATGTGGCTCTGGGCAACCTAGCATCTTAGTTTTCTCATAGGTAAAATGAGGAAAACTTGCAGGATGGTAGTGAGGATTAACAAGATGATATACGGTAAGCACTCAAAAGTGGTGCCTGTGAATTCATGGCAGCGCTATTTGTGACAGTAAAAGACTGGGATATCTACTACTGCATATCAATAAGGGACTGGTTGAATAAACAGTGGTATATCTATGAAGCAGGATAGGTACTCAAGGAAGCAACTCAGGACACAACAATAGTGGTGACTGTAGAGTCAACACAATTAGCCCCAGCATTCACATTGTAGTCAAGCTCATTCAGGCAAAGCTGTCCCTAGCAGAGAATTTGCCCTGTAAACAGCATGCATATTTTGATTTTGCCTGTCCTCAGACTGACCCTTTGCTCATCATAATAGTAAAACCACACGCCTGGGTAGAGATTTAAGATGCTAATGAGACATGTGGGTATGAATGGGCATGTACAGCTACCGTGGATGTGCGCCCAGAGGACCGCCCCATACATGCTTCCTAGTAGCACCTCTTCCCACTCCTTTATGAATAATCATGTAAGTCTCCCATAAAGGGAGTCTCCCTAGTGCCAGGCTTGGCTGTCCCACCCTGAATCCTCTCTCAGGTGTATTGTTTCTTATGCATTTCACTTTCAAAATATTATTTTTCCTTTGAAATAAATTGCTCTACGATGCATCTCCTTTGCTGTATGTCTCTTGTTTAAATTCTTTTAAAATAAGAATACAAAAACTGAGGTCTCACAACAGCCATCAACATCTACACAGTAGAGTAATACACAGCTGTCAAGAGGAAGGAGGGACTGGACGCAGTGGTTCACACCAACACTTTGGGAGGCTGAGGAATTTTTTTTTTTTTTAAGATGGTTTCACCATGTCTTGAACTCCCAACCTCAGGTGATCTGCCAGCCTTGGCCTCCAAAGTGCTTGGATTACAGGCGTGGGCCACCACGCCCGGCCGGAATTTTTTTTTTAATTAAAAAAAGAGAGGAATATACGTATATACTGTTATGGAGTCATCTCCAGGGTACTTAAATAAAACAACGGAGGTACAGTGGGTGGGAGTGGGGGTGATAGGTGAAGCCTGGAGGAGTTTTTCAGGCAATAAAATTATTTTCTCTGATGCTGTAATGGTGGATACATGATACTATGCATCTATCAAAACCCATAGACCTTTGCAGTAAGAGTGAACCTTAACATATATATTAACCTTAATACGTACATTAGTCAATCATTATTCATGTAAAATGTACACAAATTCTAAGCAATCACTTAGCAGGTCAGGGCATCCCAGATAGAATAGACTATGACAAAACAATCAAACTATATTATAAATGTATGAAACAACCTCTCTGAAGGGGGTTGAGGGAAAGGGGTGCTGACCTCAGCAACTCTGAAAATGAGTGGAGTCTGTAAGACTGAAGGCAAAAGACCTGCATGTAAGTACTGTACTGTAGGTGATAAGGTTGTCTCCACAAGTATATGGTTAACAATTCTGAGACCATTATTCATGTATACTGGAAATGAAAGATTAAGTCAAGGGATGACAGATGGTGGGATTCTGGGTTCTCACTTTTGAAGTAGAAGTTCCAGATAAACAAGGGAAGGTAGCCAGAATGCCTCAGGTAGGAATGGATTAGTCTGGTAAGACATCAGAATGAACTCATGCCTAGCTTACAGATACACACACACATAACGCAAATGTGTGTATATATATGCATACATATTTATAAATATGTGTATATAGAGGGTTAATATTCACCCATATATTTATTTGCTCTGTCAGCTGAGAAGGCCGAGAAACAATGACATCCCACTAGCAATGACTGCACCTAGTACCCGGAGTTTCTTGGTGTCTAATACCATTTTCCAATGAAGAAACCAGAGATCCTTGGAGAAATAGCTGATTGTAGGTCTGGGGCATCTTGTGCCAGAAAGTAAGGAAGTACTCAGCAAAATACAACAATGGGAGTATGTCAAAAGGACACCATAGCCACGTGAAAGAGCTCTCAATGGCCAAAGTAGGAACAATTTGAGACCCAAAGTAAATGAAGCAGTATTAGATTTTAACCCAAAGTATAAAATAAATATCCATGGGCCCACACTGATATATTTTTTATTTTATTTATTTCATTTTCTTTTTGAGACAGGTCTCACTCTGTCACCCAGGCTGGAATGCAGTGGCTCACTGCAGCCTTGACCTCCTGGGCTCAACTAATCCTCCTGCCTCAGCCTCCCAAGTACCTGGGATGACAGGTGTGTGCCACCACACCCAGCTACATTTTCAATTTATTATTAGTAGAGAGGGGGTCTTGCTATGTTGCCCAGGCCCATCTTGAACCTCCTGAGCTCAAGTGATCCATCCACCTTGGCATCCCAAAGTGCTGTGCTGGGATTACAGGCTTAAGCCACCCTACCCGGCCTGATATAAATACACAATTGAATAAATACATAAACAGGGGAGGAGAGACAAACTCCTGTGCAAAATTCCATACAGTTTCTGTAGTGACCCTGCACTTAAGGAAGTAGAGCATAATTCCCCACTCCTTAAATGTGGCCTAGGAATAGTGACTTCATTCCAAAGAGTACAGCATGGAAAGAGGAAAAAAAAGTAAGTTTAGGCTGGGCATGGTGCCTCATGCCTGTAATCCCAGCACTTTGGGAGGCCAAGGTGGGCAGATGACCTGAGGTTAGGGACCGGCCTGGGCAACATAGTGAAACCCCATCTCTACTAAAAATACAAAAGTTAGCCGGGCATAATAGCATGCGCCTGTAGTCCCAGCTACTCAGGAGGCTGAGGCAGGAGAATTGCTTGAACCTGAGAGGTGGAGGTTGCAGTGAGCTGAGATTGTGTCATCGCACTCCACCTGGGCCACTGAGTGAGACTCCATCTCATAAAAAAAAAAAGTAAGTTTACAATGGAGAAGCCTGACAAACACTACCTAGATTTCCAAAGCATAATTTCCTAACCATGGTTGCAATACCAACCTGGAATGTTTTATCTGTGTGTCACTCTCAGATCAAGAAATGAGAAATGCCAGGTGATCAAGATGAACACCAACAGTGATAATTCATGTTGATAGCCTGTACCCTTGATATGATGCCATGAGAATGACACTTTACCTCTGTGGTCTTCCTCCTCCAAATCCATAACCCCAGTCTCATCACAAGAAAAACATCAGACAAATCCCAACTGAGGGACATTATACAAATATCTCTCTAGTACCCCTCAAATTGTCGAGGTCATCAAAACAAGGAAAGACTGACAATCTATCACAGCCAAGAGGAGTCTAAGGAGACACACAGACTAAATGTCACAGTGGTTTCCAGGTGTGCTTGCTGTTCCTGGGATAGAATGCCAAGGTGGGGTGGGGCCACCAACAGATACCTATGCACAGCTTAGGGAAGCATTTCCATGAGTGCAGCTTTGACTCCCACCTACCTTCCTGGCCCCCTCCCCTCCCCTTCCCTCCGTTCCTCCTCCTCTCCTCTCTCCTCCCCTTTCCTTCGTTCCCGCCCCTCTACCCTCTCCTCCCTTTCCCTCTGTTCCCGCCTCTCCCCTCCCTTCACCTTCCCTCCGTTCCTGGCCTCTTCCCCTCCCCTCCGCACCCCTCCCAGACGTTCCGGGTCCCCTTGTCTCCCTCCCCTCCTCTCCCCTCCCCCCTCTTTTTTGAGACGGGGTCTCCCCAGGTTGGCCTGGTTGGTCTGGAACTCCTGAGCTCAAGCGATCCGCCCCTCTCAGCCTCCCAAAGTGCTGGGATTACAGCACTTCCATGACTTTTTAATAAATTAATTTATACACTTGTGCAACTGTCACCACAATCCACTTTTAGAACATTTCTATTACTGCTTTCCTTCCATTTCTCCAACCCCATCTGCATTAATCCCCGCTCCCACACCTCGCCCCAAGTAACTGTGCTTTCTGTCTTTGTAGATTTGCCTAGTGTAATTTATTTTTTGCTTCGGCAATATGAGGAGGTCGTGCAAAATAGAAGCTATTTAGGAACAGGCTAAGCGGACTTAAAACTGATGGAAAGTTTAAAGTTGTTTAAAAGTGGGCTATAGTTTTACATGATTTTTTTAAAAAAGAGGAAAGGTGAGGAGAGGTTCCAGTCTGGGGCGGCTAGGACTAGGTGATGGTTTGGGAGCTGGCAAAAGAAGGTGTCACGTGACGAGGAGAGCCCTCGAGCCGCGCCCGCCCCGCAGGAGTCGAGATCCGCTACCAGCCAACCCTCTCCGCCCCGGGGCGGCTGCCTTCCTCTCGCGCAGGTGCAGTGCTCCTGCTTCCGGGTCGACGGCGGGCAGGCGGAGCTTGTATTCGCATCGATGTGAGCGCGTGGCGATTGCTTCTGTCTGTTGTTTAGCTATGGAAGCTGCCTGGTTGCTGCGAGGCTGCAGGAACCCGGGTCGGGGTCTAGTTCCGTGCTGACCGCCCCCGGGGTCGAGTAGACGATGGGGGAGCCTGGCTTCTTGGTCACGGGAAACCGCGCCGGTGGTCGGAGCTGGTGCCTGCGGCGGGTGGGGATGAGCGCCGGGTGGCTGCTACTGGAAGATGGGTGTGAGGTACAAGGGAAGGCGTCCTGTGGGGCGGAGGGCAGGGGCTGGAGGGAGCGGGGCTCCGGAGAAGGAGGAAGGCGTCTAGGTGGGCGGAATGAATGGCAGAGAGGAGGCAGGCACACAGAAGACGAACGAGGGGATGGGGGGGGGGTGGATCCTGGGGAGAGAAGGGAAGGAGCGGTTCTGGCTCGAGCGGCTGAAGGGTCTAAGGTGGGAGGTATTTGGGGAGAAATAGGGACCGAGTGGGAGAAAGGAAGAGAAGAGAGTTCGGCTCTGGAGGGCCACAAGGATTGGGGTGAGGACGAGGCCTGGCCCGCGGGCGGTGGGGCGAGAAGAGGGCCCAGCCCAGAGAGGCCTGGGTCTGCGGGGAGTGGGGTCGGGGCCGGGAAGGAGAGGGACGCGCAGAGGATGTGAGGAGAAGCGGTGTTATAGCGGAGTGGAGGGCGGGGCCTGGCCAGATCCCATTTAGGGCGCCCGGAGCCCAGCGGTGCCGGGCCTGGGAACAGTGGATTGGAGCCGCGAGCCGCTGGGCAGCCGAGGCGGGGCCTGGAAGGGCTGCCCGGAGCTTGAACTTTCTCGAGTTTGCTTTGAAAACGAATGCGAGTTTTGGGTTTTGTCCCTTAAAGTGATCAAACTCTCAAGTAGAAATGTCTTCCTCCTTCCCACCTCTGAGGAACAGGGGCGCCTTAGGCTGGGCCGCATTTCTCCCGCGAAGCTCGGTACGTCCGAGTGGCACCCCTAAAGGAGGGATCGGGCAGGGATTCCGAGTTCTCTCCAGAGGATGCCTGTCGCCTTTGTTAATATAATTCCAAATGAAAATTTTTTAAAGGGGAAAGATGAGGCACGTTCCTGGCACGGTTCAAGATGCACTTTGAAGATGATGCATCCTCAAAGGGCGAGGGAAGGGAGGATGGAGTTAGATTGCAATCAGGTTGAGAGGAAAACTGAGTCAGGGACAAGCTGGTGATGACGGGGAACCATTTGGGTTTTGGAAATCTGTATGAAAGGTTCCCTTTGCAGTAAAAGTGGATAGTTGGTCGTGATGTTGTAAACTCAAAAAGTCTTTTGAGCCTTACGTATGTTCAGGTAGATTTTGCCTGTAAGTCATACTCCTCAATTCAGTCTGCCAGGTGTTGACAGAGTACATAACATTGGTGTACAATGAGAACACATAAAATTTGTGAGCTCAAAGAGTTTCAGGCTTAAGTGGGGAGAGAGGATTTATACAATGAAGCAGTCTAAGAACTGTATATGGGCTGTATGATCAAGTGCCAAGATATGGATTATTTAGTTCCATCCCAGAGCAGTAGTTCTTCAAGTCAGGGGAGGGATTCATGTTCAGGCTCAACTTTAGTTGCTAGATTAGAGAGGGTTATAAAGGGTTACTTGTATGTCGTGATTTCGGGAACATGAAGAAAACACCTCTGCCCCCAAATACCTCTTCTATCCAGGTGTTAGTGCCCAAAAGTCCACATTAGGCATTCATTCCTTTAGCTTGAGCACTGACCTTTCCCTGCCTGGCCCTTTCCAACAGTATATGTTTCTGAGAAGTTTAACAAATTAAAACACCAACACCTGAGTAATAACCAGAACAGTACACACAAAATAAATTATTTTTATGTATAACTGTTACTTAATACATTATTGAATGTGATCCCTGCATACACACAACCTTGTAAGTTAACTTAGTGGGCAGGTGTTACTCCTTTAGATTCCGTTGTTGTGGATTAATTTATGACTTCTGAATAGCTTGGTAGGACTGCAGCCTTGGGCAAGTGGGATGGGGAGGAAGGATTAAAGCACCTGCAGGAAGGGCAAGAAGACTATAAAGCACTCTTAGACATATTCTACACATTTTGATCGTTTTGTGTCAGGGCCACTTCTATGGGGAGAGACCCATACAAACTGAGTGAATGATGACACAGTGTTAAGACTGGCTGGCTTCAGGGACCTGTGTGGAGGAGAGGCCTGCAAGGTCAGGTCATGGCATAGCCTGAAAAGAAATCTGAGTCAAAGGCAAGAGAAGTTGTAGTTATTGTAATGGTCCCCAAATCATAGGACAAGCTGTTTTGCACAAGATTTTAGGAGGTATACTAATAACATTGTAACAGCAAAGTAGGTCAGTTCCCTGCCTTTCCTGTTCTTAGTCTCAGATGTTGCAGATAAAATAATAAAACAGAGTTCCCTTCATTTCATTGATGGGAATACTGTAGTAAATCGGTTGTCTAAATAAGTGGCTTTAAGCTTGTTAAAGCAATGCATGGAGTTTGGTGGAAAAACAATTAGAGATTTATTGCAAATTAGCTAGTTCTCAGGTACTATAAAGAATCTTTGCCTTTGAGGAAACCAACAGAACCTTTCTCCCCTTTTATTCTCTTGTATTTAGTTTTCATGAAGTTTTCTGCCCCAAGGGAAAGGATGGTTATATTTACTGGTTTGGGGCTTTTTGTTTTGTGGTGCTTTTTTTTTTTTTTTTTTTGACAGAATATTCCATCACCCAGGCTGGAGTGCAGTGGTGTGATCACACCTCCACCTCCTGGGTTCAAGGATTCTTCTGCCTCAGTCTTCCAAGTAGCTGGAAGTAGCTGGAATAGTAGGAATTACAAATGTGCACCGCTATCCCTGGCTAATTTTTGTATTTCCAGTAGAGAGGGGGGTTTCACCATGTTGGCCAGGCTGGTCTTGAACTCCTGGCCTGCTCGCCTGGGCCTCCCAAAGTGCTGGGATTACAGGTGTGAGCCACCACACCCGGCTGTATTTCCTGGTTATTTGGGAAACAGTAGAAATTGTGCGCAGGAGGAAAGGGATAATCATAGTGAAGGTGGACAAGGACAAGATGATCTTTCAGACCAACAATGTGTGTAAGATCAAAGGCTTGCAAATCTATTGTAAAGGAAAACAGCCCTTCACATAGGGGTCATCAGTCAGTTCCCACGGGAAATTTAGTGTTCTGCTGAGTGGTCCTGAGATTTCCAGGGAGCCTCACCACACTCTTTAACTATAGTATAGGTGAAATATCAGTAGTACCAAGGTAAATTCTAGGACCCGGCAGTGCAGGGAAGGATGTTTCCTTTTTCTGGGTTCAGAGTCTGTTGGCAGAAATTTCAAAAGAAGGCATTTTTCTACTGTTCTGGTACCATTTTCCCCAGGCTACTCACAATGGCAGTCCGGCTGTCTCCCTTCAGGTATTAGCCTACAATACAGATGCTTCCTTTCTTAGAAATAAAGCTACCTGAATGGAAATTTTTACTCAATATGGATGACACATTAATCCCTAACCATTCCATTTTTAACAGATATATGTATTAATTCAGAGGAACTTCTATAATTAATGTAATTCTGGCAAAGTGTGAAAGAACTGAAAAATTTCATGCTCAGTGTTGGTGGAGGGGTCACCACAGCATTTTAAAGAGGAACAAGTGAGACCATATGAGTTCCAACTGCTGCTCTATATTTTCCAATGGTAATACAGTCTCCAGCTTCCAACCTAAAAATACGCATCCTAAAATCTCCACTCATATGCAAGATCTCTTTATTCTACCATTCATTCTCAAGTATTTAACTGAACACCATGCCAGGTATAGAAACACAATGTTAAACCAGATAGATAAAGTCCCTGCTTATCTCATGTATATTCTAGCAAGGGGGGGAGGAGGGGAAAAGTAAAATAAGCAAGATAATTTTGGTTTGTGATAAGTGCATGCTAATAACTGAAGAAATATGATGGGGAGCAGACAACCAAGTTTAGACAGTGGTGATCTGAGTAGGCTTATGAATAGCCGAAACATGAAAGATTAGGAGCTCATGCAAGATCTGAGATAAGCGTGTTCTTAGAGGGGCGAAGAAAAAAGACCCTCAGTAGGCTGGCACTTGGGGGAGAGGGGCTTAAGGAACAAGGGGCTGGAGCAGCTAGTGTTGGCACTATGGTATGAGTTAAGACTAAAGAGGAGGGGGCTTAGGACATTCAGGGTCTTATAGGCCATGGAAGGAAGTTTGAGTGATTAAATGGTTTTAAGGAAAAAAGAGAATTATCTGATTTAAAATTTTTATGTTTCTATTCCAGCTAGTATGTAAAGTTTATGGGGGCTAGAGTGGGAACAGAAACAGTAGGAGGCCAGGTGGTTTGAACTAAGGTTGTGGCTGTAGAGCTAGAAATGAACAGACTTAGGACATATTTGGATTATATCCCATAGAATTTGCCAATGATTTCAATGTGGGGATGAGGGACAGAGATGAATCAAAGATGGCTTCTGGGTTATGGGTTGAGCAGTTGGTTGGATAGTAGTGTCAGTACTGAGATGAGAGTCTGTGGGGAGGAATCGATGAGGTCAGTGAGTCATAGTGGTCTTTGAGGGACCGAGGAGGACAGGCATGATTCTGAAAGATTTTTGAAAGAAAAGGGCAGTTTTTAGCTAACTTTGGTTTCAAGTTCACAGTTAAAGTTGTGGTATGGGGCATTAAAGAGGTCTTTTATGCACTGAGAAGAATAAGCAGGGAATTCTGTGATCTGGATCTCGGAAGAATTTAGTTTCCTTCCTTCATAGGGTTGTTATGAACTAGATTTGTCCAACAGGAAAGTATGATAGATGTGAATTGGGGCTTCTTTTCAACCTTTCCAAAAGCTCTCAAGCTGTTCTTGTGGATAAGGCAGAGAATATATACTCGAATGAAAAGACTTTTGGTTGAATTATAATTGGCCCAGGGTATATCCAGACTGTGGGGATTAATGTTCAGACTTTCCTGAGAACTTTGCCTTTGGCTGTGTCCCATTCTGGGTCTTGAATGAAGGTATAGAAGGCATCATATCATACTAATTTGGTGGGAGGGATATTAAGTATGTCTGATCTGATGGCAGATTAAAAATTCAGAAAGGTCTTGGCAAGTTGGTGTGATAGGCTGAACTAGCAAGATGAAATTTAGTAGGAATCAGTCTAAGGTCCTGTGCTTGAACCTAAGGTTTTCCATCTGGTCAAGTATAGAGCAAAAGAGACATGACTTAGCATAGCATTTCTTGGAGGAGGGGGAGACCAAGAAATTTAATCTTTCCTGAGTCCGAGGATACATTGGCAGTGTACTAGATCTGTTATGACAGCTAATGCAGTTTATACGGTCAGTGATAATATCTAGAACTGGGAAAGTAACACTTGCATTTGACTGTGTAATTTATTTTTCTTAATATGGCATCCAGGAATAAAGATAAATTAGCAGTCCTTTCACAGACTCGTAAGAATGGCAAAGAGACTCAAACCCATTCCCTGGGAGTTAAGTTGAAGTAACTGGGAATACAGAACCAGGAAATGAGAAAACTTAATGTTCACTTTATAGCTGTGACTTTGAAAGGGGATCAGAGATTTCCTGATGGTGCCCAGGGCAACAATGGATGGAATTTATAGGGTGAAAGACGCCAAGTCAGAGACATTAAAAAAATAGGAGGGCCTGCCTTATGTAAAGTACACTTCTGCCTCCTGGGTTCAAATGATTCTCCTGCCTCAGCCTCCCAAGTAGCTGGGATTACAGGTGCTCGCTACCAGACCCAGCTAATTTTTGTATTTTTAGTAGAGACAGGGTTTCACCATGTTGGCCAGGCTGGTCTCAAACTCCAGACCTTGTGATCCTGCCACCTTGGCCTCCCAAAGTGCTGGGATTACAGGCATGAGCCACCGCTCCCAGACCGGCAGTGTTTATGAGTTGATGGGATGTGTAGAAGGAATTCCTCTATCTCATGGTCACTGAACCCGATGACCTTTCAAGATCTTGCCAACCCTGAGGTACATGGATAACTCTTTTCAGCTTTCTCCTCTTGTCACAACTGTTTGCCTTTTTCTACTTGGTGGCTTTCATGGCAGCTAAAGAGGAGATAGCAGATGCACTGTTTTGCTTCCACACGTGTCTGTTTTCTTAAGTCAGGACCTGCATATGCTGCTGGTTGACAAGCTTTGTAAAAACCTCCCTTTTTCAGCACAATGACTTGTTACATTGTATTTCTTACATTGTTTTTGTCTTCCCAGGTGACTGTAGGACGAGGATTTGGTGTCACATACCAACTGGTATCAAAAATCTGCCCTCTGATGATTTCTCGAAACCACTGTGTTTTGAAGCAGAATCATGAGGGTCAGTGGACAATTACGGACAACAAGGTACAGAATTCATGGAAGCCTAATGAATATTATTTATTTTAAAATTACTTGGGGTTTTTTTTGCACAGGTAATTCATGGTATAAAATTCAAAAGTATAACTTCTTCTTTCCTAGCCATCCAGTTTCCTTTTCCAGAGGCAGCCACTTCCATATGCTGCCAGAGATTGGATTATGCTAAAATAATTTCTCTTGATTTGGGGTGAAGTTTGTTACCTTGAAGATAATGCCTGAATTGGGGTAGGAGGTCCTATTCCAGAAACTAGACTAAGTTACTGGGCAAATTAGCCTGTTTGAGGCGAAGCTCCAGAGATCCTGGAAATCTGTAGAATCTCCTGAAGCTTCTGGAGTACACTACGGCTCAGTGAACAGGCGGAGAAGAAACTGATCTGACTGCTTAGCTCCTTTCCTTCCTCACTTTTTTTTTTCCATTTTTTTCCTTCAAAGCTACTGCAAATCACCTCACTCCTTTCAATCTGAGCAACCTTCCCTTCCCTTGCCTTTTAAAACATGTTTTAAATATTGGTGTTCTGAAGATTTCCTTTGAATAGCGGGTTTTTCTCCTTTAAACAAATTTGAAAACCACAAGTGTAGTGGTAAATATATTGAGGGAGGTGTAATAGTACTCAGAGCCCAGCAATTACAAAGTACCTAATGCGCCGGTTGTGGCGGCGCATGCCTCTAGTCCTAGCTACTGGGAAAGCTGAGGCCGCAGGATTGTTTGAGACCATGAGTTCTCGGTTATAATGCGCTATGCTGTTCTGGTGCCTGCATTAAGTTTGGCATCAATATAGTGTCGTCCTGAGAGTGGGGACCACCAGGTTGCTTAAGCAGAGGTAAACTGACCCAGGTTGGTAGCAGGGCAGGTCAAAACTGCTGTGCTGGTTAGCATTGGGATTGCACCTGTGAATAGCCACTGCACTCCAGTGTGGCTGACATGGTGAGGCCATGTCTGTATCAAAAAGAAAAAAAAGAATGCCTAAAGTGCAGATATACAAGCACCCAGGAATGTAATGAAAACACAGACTATGAGGTGAGAGAAATTCTAATGTAAACAGTTAAGACTTAGGGAGTATAAAATGTCCTTAAGTACCATTTCATACTGCTTCACTGCCCTGGTTAGGATTTTAAAGGTACCATTAGAAGGGAGGATATTCCAGATCTGCCCGGCAGCCTCATTTTGCATGCATAAAACTGCTCGACTTAAGCTGCTGGAAAGTATCTTCCTGCTCTGGCATTAAGTTGAGTTGGCACTGTATTGAAGGAGACAGTATATAAATGCCGAGTAAATTGGTTCAGCACTTTTAGTTAGCAAGGCACTGTGAGCAGGATAAAAATTGGTACTGAGATTATCTAGTTTAACCCCTTATGTAGACAGATGAATCTGAGGCCCAGAGAGATAAACTGTCTTGCTCAAGGCCTTCTCTCTAATGAGCCAGGACTTAAGTTTCTCTGCCATGCCCTGTGTCAAATACCAGTAAAGTACATAAGCAATTTGCTATACTGGCTTTATGATGCCACACAAAATTAATTATGCATAATTTGAAATACAGCTGCAAGATTTTGAAGCCTCTGTAATAGTGTATATCAGAACAGCTTAGGGAAAGATGTTTTCCTCATCAGAGTAGTCTGTATGATCATTGGGATTACAATATTATAGAGGTGAGTTCTCTGCTGCTCCTTTTCTTGTGTGCTGTGTAGATGTGATCCACTTACGGGATTAGCAGATTTTTATAGGTTGGGAAGCCACCAGCTGATCAACTTTAGTGCTATTTGAATGTTGACCACAGGAATACAGAGGCAGCCTGTGCAAGGTCAGATCATGACTGCTCCGGGCTCGCTGTCCGGTGTTTGCTTTGTACCCTTCCTTCTAGGGCTGCTGTTACCATGTGATTCTTCTCAGGTCTCAGTAAGGCAGTAGAGAGGAAAGAGAGGTTTCTTAACAACCTGTTTAAACCTTTTAGCTGTGATTGTGAGGTAACTGATTTTTAAGAGAAGCTAGGACTGGGGTATTTTGGTGGAACAATTCTTACAAGTAAATCCCCCCTACCCCTTGCATTTTTCTATTGACTATAGATGCTCCCTTTCTGGCTTCCTTCTGGCATGATGCCATGGCAACCCTCTTTTGCTGATAAGGGACCTGAATTTTAGCTGTAGGACATTATTGCTGTGGTTGTGTTTCAAGTCATTTGTCAAGTCTCTTTCAAGACCTAGGTATTTCTAATAAGTTAAAACTCAGAGCTGCACTCTCTCATCTGCTGGAATGGCCAGAAAGTGAGACTTTAAGTATGGATTTAAAAAATAGCAAGAAATGTGATTTTGGTTTAAAATTGGCTTAAAATACAGAAAAAAAAAAAACCTTGGAGGACAGCTAAGTCTGCACACAGTATGAAGATGGTTCTAGTTGTGTAGGTTTTGGTTAATTCATAAGCTCTTCAGATGGCCCGTCCTTTGTATTGGTATCCAGCTCTTTCAGAAAATTGGTTGTTTTTATAACTCATTCAAAACAGTAAAAAAAAAAAAAAAAAAAAAAATTTGGTTGTTTTAAAGTCACAGTATGAAATGCCTTAGAGGTTCAGTCACGTCTTATTTGAGCCTTTCTCATTCTTCCCCTCCTCTCCTGTTGCTTTTCACCTGCTGTGTGGTTATTCCTACCTTTGTTCTTCTGCAGACTCTGGCAGTTGAAGTCTCTGTTGAGTATACTCTTATGTGAACAAACTTTGCTGCGTGGAATAGTTCAGCTTCTGGTCCTCCAGCAACTAGAGCAGTGGTTATCAACCCTGTTTCCAGTTTTTACTCTCATCTGGGGTACTTTTTAAAAATACTGATGGTAGTACAGTAAAAATGTTCCTTCATCAAAAGACACCATTAAGAGAATGAAAGGCCAACTCAGAGAGGAAGATGTTTGCTATACTTTATAGTCAATGAAGGGCTTATCCTGAGGTATATACAGAACTGCAAAGCAATAAAAAGAGATGTGCCCAATTTAAAAATGAGCAAGAGACAAGCGCTTCACAAAAGGTTGTATCCAGTGAAAAGTTGTTCGGCCTCATTAATGAGCTGGGGAATTTTAATTAAAACCATAATGGAATACCTCTGCACATTCACCAGAGTGGCTAAAATTGAAGACTAGTGATGCCAGGTATTGGTAAGGATATGGAGCAATAGAATGCTCTTGCTCTTCTGTTGGGAGTGCAAATTGGTACAACTACTTTGGGAAATTATTTGCCATTATTTATTAACGTTGAACATATATATAGCTCTTGACACAGTGTTTTCACTCCCAGGGAAACAGTACAAATGTCCATCAACAGTAGAATGGATGCATTGTGGAATAATCTTATATTGAAACACTATGCTGTAGTGAATATTAATGAACTATAATACATGGATAAGTCTCACATAACATTGAGTGAAAGAAGACAGAGACAAAAGAATACATATTATATGATGCCATTTATACAGTATGTAAAAACAGGCAAAATTAACGTGCTGTTAAATCTGGCTGGTAGCCACCTTATTGCCAGAGTGGCTGCTGACCAGAAGGAGGCACAGGGGGGTTTCTGGGATACTGATAATGTGGGATTTGTTTTGTTTTTGGCCTCACAGCAGTTAAACTGAGATGTTCATTTTGTGGCTGTTCATCTCGTTGATTTGTGCACTTTTACATTTGCATGTTCCGCCTGAGTAAAAAGTTTCATTTTTTTTTTGAGATGGAGTTTTGCTCTGGTTGCCCAGGCTGGAGTGCAGTTACACGATCTTGGCTCACTACAGCCTCCGCCTCCCAGGTTCAAGCAGTTCTTCTGCCTCAGCCTCCCAAATAGCTGGGATTACAGGCAAGCACCACCATGCCTGACTAACTTTGTATTTTAAGTAAAGACGGGGTTTCGCCATGTTGGACAGGCTGGTTTTGAACTCCTGACCTCAAGTGATTCACCTGCCTCGACCTCCCAAAGTGCTGGGATTACAGGCGTGAGCCACTGTGCCTGGCCGTAGTAAAGAGTTTTTAAAAAGATATTGATGGATACACACTTAATATAACTGCTAAAATAAGACTTGATGATACCAAGTGCTGGCAAGTATGCAGAATAACTGGAACTTCTAAACACTTAAGTGTGAATATAAAATGGCACCTCCACTCTGAAAAACTGGTGATTTCTTTCTTTTTATTTTTTTGAGATGGAGTCTCGCTCTGTTGCCCAGGCTGGAGTGCAGTGGCGCAATATTGGCTCACTGAAACCTCCGCCTCCTGGGTTCAAGTGATTCTCCTGCCTCAGCCTTCCGAATAGATGGGATTACAGGCGCCTGCCACTGTGCCCAGCTAATTTTTGTATTTTTAGTAGAGACAGGGTTTCACCATGTTGGCCAGCCTTGTCTCAAACTCTTGACCTCGTGATCCTCCCACCTCGGCCTCCCAAAGTCTGGGATTACAGTTATGAGCCACTGTGCCTAGTCAAAACTGGTGGTTTCTAAGAGTCAAATATACGCTTGTCCAGTGATTCATTCTCTTTCTCTCCCCCCGCCTTTCTTTTTCCTTCCTTCCTTCCTTCCTTCCTTCCTTCCTCCCTCCCTCCGTCCCTCCCTCCCTCCCTCCCTTCCTTCCTTCTTCCTTCCTTCCTTGCTTCTATCTTTCTTCCTTGTCTTTTTCTTCCTTTCCTTTCTTTCCTCTCTTTCTCTTTTTTCTCTCTTTTAAGATGGAGTCTTGCTCTTGTTGCCCAGGCTGGAGTACAATAGCGCAATCTCAGCACATTGCAACCTCTGCCTCCCAGGTTCAAGCAGTTGTGCCTCAGCCTCCCAAGTAGCTGAGATTATGGGCATGCACCACCACATCTGGCTAATTTCTTTATTTTTAGTAGAGACAGTGTTTCTCCATGTTGGTCAGGCTGGTCTCGAACTCCTGACCTCAAGTGATCCACCTGCCTCGGCCTCTCAAAGTGCTAAGATTACAGGCATAAGCCACCACGCCTGGCCTAGTGATCCTATTTCTAGGTATTTATCCAAGATTAATGAAAGTTTATGTTCTCACAGAAACTTGTATGTGAATGTTTGTAGTGGTTTTATTAATAATCATCAAAAACTGTTAAGAAAACCAACTAGAGAATGGATAAACTGTGCTCCACTGGTACTTCCTTCAGTATTACTCAGCAATAAAATATAACAAACTGCTGGTAATGCAACAGTGTGGATGAATCTCAGAGGCATTACACTAAGTGAGAGTAGAAAGCCTCAAAAGTGGAGACACTGAGCCGGGCTCGGTGGCTCAAGCCTGTAATCCCAGCACTTTGGGAGGCCGAGGCGGGTGGATCACGAGGTCAACAGATCAAGACCATCCTGGTCAACATGGTGAAACCCCATCTCTACTAAAAATACAAAAAATTAGCTGGGCATGGTGGCGCGTGCCTGTAATCCCAGCTACTCAGGAGGCTGAGGCAGGAGAATTGCCTGAACCCAGGAAGCGGAGGTTGCAGTGAGCCGAGATCGTGCCATTGTACTCCAGCCTGGGTAACAAGAGCGAAACTCCGTCTCAAAAAAAAAAAAAAAAAAGTGGAGACACTGATTCCATTTGTGTTACATTCTGGCAAAGGGTAGAGAACAGATAAGTAGTTGCCTGGGAATGGGGGAAATGTTGAGTTGACTAAGAAGGGTCATTGTATCCTGGTACAGTTTGTATATAAACGTAACTTTTAAAATACTAATAATTAGTTCCTATCTCAGACCAATTAACTCCCTCTGAGGGCCAAACCCAGGCACCCCTCTTTGTTTTAAACTTTCCCGAGTGGTTTTACTGCACACCTCGGCCTCCTAAAGTGTTGAGATTACAGCTGTAAGCCACCACTCCTGGACAGGAAATATTTATGTGTAAGTTATTGTGCTAAGTGATTTACATGCATTATCTTATTCACTCCTCACAGGAACAGTATGAGGTAGGTACCGTACCATCCCTATCCTGCAGACAAAACTGAGGCATGGAGAGGTTAAGTAAATTGCCGAACGCCATGCAGACTGTGAACCTGCATCTGAATCCATAGCTCCAGCTCTTAACCGCTATCCTGTATTGCCTATATACCCCTGTTGGTATTAATTGGGTCGGATCCTACCTGCCATTTGACCCCAGTCAGGATATAATACTCTCTTTTCTTTTGGTTTATGTGTGCTTGCTCTTTCACCAGTGCGTTAAGGAACCACATCCAGAGATAGTATTTGAGCCTACTTCATGGGCCTCACCCTTAGATACTGCTTTCTTTACTAATCGCGTTTTTTCTAGTTTTGGGACATTGCCTCATTGCCTCCAGTTTAGGTCAATAGGAACTATCCAGTTTCAGTTTCCTTTCATGCTATTGTATGTGTTTGAGTAAATTAACCACCAATAATATAGGGTGATTCCTGCCTGTGACGTGGCAGTTCTCTGTGGAAGCATGACTGAAATATAGGTAAAAAGCCAAAGCACTGCTTGAAAAATGCTGTTTCTAAGGATGGTAGTTTATGACTCTTTCTTTTCAGTTCGTTATCAAGAGTTTTCCTTCTGAAAAGGCCAAAGGTTTTACAATAGCAGGAGAGAGATTCTATTAAGAGGATGAAAATCATGAACCTTATTTCTTTCTTTAACTTTTCAGAGTCTAAATGGTGTTTGGCTGAACAGAGAGCGTCTGGAACCTTTAAGAGTCTATTCCATTCATAAGGGAGACTACATCCAACTTGGAGTGCCTCTGGAGAATAAGGAGAATGCAGAGTATGAATATGAAGTTACTGAAGAAGACTGGGAGACGATATATCCTTGTCTTTCCCCAAAGAATGACCAGATGATAGAAAAAAATAAGGGATTGAGAACTAAAAGGAAATTTAGTTTGGATGAATTAGAGGGTCCTGGAGCCGAAGGCCCTTCAAATTTGAAATCCAAAATAAACAAAGTGTCTTGTGAATCTTGTCAGTCAGTGAAATCACAGGGGAGAGGTGAAGTGGCCAGTACACCCTCTGAAAATTTGAATCCTAAGTTGGCTGCCCTTGAGCCAAGTAAGAAGACCACAGGGGCTCCCATTTACCCTGGCTTCCCCAAAGTCACAGAGGCTCATCATAAGCAGAAAGCCTCAAACTCTTCAGCATCTCAGAGCACCTTACAGCTGTTTAAGGTGACCATGTCCAGGATTCTGAAACTGAAAATACAGATGCAGGAAAAACAAGAAGCTGTTAGGAATGTGAAAAAGCAGACCCAAAAGGGGCACTCAAAGAAAATTGTGAAGATGGAGCAGGAACTGCAGGACTTACAGTCCCAACTGTGTGCAGAGCAGGCTCAGCAGCAAGCAAGAGTGGAGCAACTAGAGAAGACTTTCCAGGAAGAGGAACAGCATCTTCAGGTACCACACGGAAGGAAAGGGCAAGAGTGGTCTTCAGGGGTGGGGCAGGCACTTGATGAGCCTCTGGCCAGAGCTCTCAGTTTCTGGGCCAGGTACCAAATTCTGAGCACCAAAGACAGGAAATGGAATGGGAACAGTAAACTTTTGAGATGAGGGAATTGGATTGAGTAAAGGGTTAAGGTTTCTGCACACTGATGAGATCAGGAGCCAGAGTTGGGGTGCTAAGATAGGGTAAAATATCCAGCAGAGCCAGCGAGGACATAACTCATCTCAGGATGCAAAGCTGAGGCAACTCAGAACCAACATGAATTCGGGGGAAGGTTAGGTGAAGGTCAAGATGCCACAAAACCACAGTATAGTCCAATTAAATCAATAGTTGTCTTGACTTACCTATCTTTTCTCTGGGCCAAGGCCAGATCACTTAGTCCCAGGGCAGGTACAGGTCAGCTGGTTCCTTTGCCCTTGTACCTGACACTTTGTTAACTAGAAAGGTTAGTTAACTCTGTAGCTAACCCAGGAGGTAAGAGGCTAAAAAGGCAGAAAATGTTTTTGTTTCTGTTTTGAGCAGCTAGCATGTGATGGGACAGATGCAACGTGGCTGCATTGTTGGGTTGAATGATAAATACCTTCCACAGTGCCAGTAATAGGAAGGTAAAATAATGGCTGTCTTAGCTGTATAAAGGTGAGACCAAATGTGTTCCCATCCCTAACTCATTTGCTTAGATGACATGCTCTTGCACAAAGCTTTAGGCTGGAGCAGATCCTGTCCCTGCCCAAAATGTCATTTCCTATCTGTCAGGAACCACATGTTTTACTCCCACCCAGTGGTTCAGGTAATATTGAATGTCAGAAATTCCCCATTGCTTACTTAGAACTCAGACGGACCAGTCACCATTGAACTGAATAAGCTTTTTCGTTTGGGTTGCTCAGGGTAAGGAACAACCAGGGGTAGTGTTGTCTTATTTCTGAGCAATTTATAAATGTCATTCTGATCTCTGCCATCCCCTTGAACTGGTAGTATTAGCAAAGGCCATGGATTAAATAGGTCTTTTGAGAGTATACACTACTTACTTGTGGGTACTTTTTGCTTCCCTTATTCGGCCTAGACTAGTCCTTGAAATTAATAGAGGCTGGTTTATGTCTACATATTTAGATGTAGACCTTCACATCTTCACTGGGACAGAACTCTCTATAGGCAAGTATGTTCAGGGACAAGTTACTGTTGATTAATATTTGTGGCGGCTCTGGACATGCTTCAAGGTATAGCTGCAAAATCTTTTTCTGTACCAAAATGTTAAAGGCAAAAGGACTGGTTTAGAGAATTTCTCTGGGTATGAATAGGTCATATATTTATTGCTCATAGTGAAGTGTATCTAATCCCTTGTTTATCAGCTACATCTCCCTCTGTCCACCAAGCCCTAGGGATTTATCCTACCCGCTACCACTTGTTTAGAAGTTCATTAAAGTCTTGCTGCTTCACTCACACTTTTTTTTTTAATTTTTTTTTTTTTAATTGCATTTTAGGTTTTTGGGTACATGTGAAGAACATGCAAGATTGTTGCATAGGTGCACACATGGCAGTGTGATTTCCTGCCTTCCTCCCCTTCACCTATATCTGGCATTTCTCCCCATGCTATCTCTCCCCACCTCCCCATCCCCTGCTGTCCCTCCCCTATATCCCCCTGACAGACTCCAGTGTGTGGTGCTCCCCTCCCTGTGTCCATTTGTTCTCATTGTTCAACATCCACCTATGAGTGAGAACATGCGGTGTTTGATTTTCTGTTCTTGTGTGAATGATGGTTTCCAGGTTCATCCATGTCCCTACAAAGGGCACAAACTCATCGTTTTTTTATGGCTGCATAGTATTCCGTGGTGTATATGTGCCACATTTTCCCTGTCTAGTCTATCATCGATGGGCATTTGGCTTGGTTCCAGGTCTTTGCTATTGCAAACAGTGCTGCAGTGAACATTCATGTGCATGTGTCCTTATAGTAGAATGATTTATAATCCTTTGGATATATACCCAGTAATGGGATTGCTGGGTCAAATGGAATTTCTATTTCTAGGTCCTTGAGGAATCGCCACACTGTCTTCCACAATGGTTGAACTAATTTACACTCCCACCAACAGTGTAAAAGTGTTCCTATTTCTCCACATCCTCTCCAGCATCTGTTGTCTCCAGATTTTTTAATGATTGCCATTCTAACTGGCATGAGATGGTATCTCAATGTAGTTTTGATTTGCATGTCTCTAATGACCAGTGATGATGAGCATTTTTTCATATGTCTGTTGCCCTCATATATGTCTTTTGTAAAGTATCCATTCATATTCGTCGCCCACTTTTGAATGGGCTTGTTTGTTTTTTTATTATAAATCCATTTTAGTTCTTTGTAGATTCTGGATATCAGCCCTTTGTCAGATGGGTAGATTGCAAAAAATTTTTACCATTCTGTTGGTTGCCAATTCACCCCAATGACTGTTTCTTTTGCTGTGCAGAAGCTGTGGAGTTTGATTAGGTCCCATTTGTCTATTTTGGCTTTTGTTGCCAATGCTTTTGGTGTTTTGGTCATGAAATCCTTGCCTATGCCTATATCCTGAATGGTTTTGCCTGGATTTTCTTCTAGGGTTTTTATGGTGTTAGGTCTTATGTTTAAGTCTTTCATCCATCTGGAGTTAATTTTAGTGTAAGGTGTCAGGAAGGGGTCCAGTTTCTGCTTTCTGCACATGGCTAGCCAGTTTTCCCAACACCATTTGTTAAACAGAGAATCCTTTCTGCATTGCTTGTTTTTGTCATGTTTGTCAAAGATCAGATGGTTGTAGATGTGTGGTGTTGCCTCCAAGGCCTCTGTTCTGTTCCGTTGGTCTGTATCTCTCTTTTGATACCAGTACCATGCTGTTTTGATTACTGAGGCCTTGTAGTATAGTTTGAAGTCCAGTAGTATGATGCTTCCAGCTTTGCTTAGAATTGACTTGGCTATGCGGGCTCTCTTTTGGTTTCATATGAAGTTTAAGGTGGTTTTTTCCAGTTCTGTGAAGAATGTCATTGGTAGCTTGATGGGGATAGCGTTGAATCTGTAAATTACTTTGGGCAGTATGGCCATTTTCACGATATTGATTCTGCCTAACCATGAGCATGGAATGTTTCTCCATCTGTTTGTGTCCTCTCTTATTTAGTTGAGCAGTGGTTTGTAGTTCTCCATGAAGAGGTCCTTTACGTTCCTTGTTAATTCTCTTTGTAGCAATTGTGAATGGCACTTCGTTCTTGATTTGGCACTCTTTAAGTCTGTTATTGGTGTATAGGAATGCTTGTGATTTTTGCACATTGATTTTGTATCCTGAGACTTTGCTGAAGTTGCTTATCAGTTTCAGGAGATTTTGGGCTGAGACAATGGGGTCTTCTAAATATACAATCATGTCGTCTGCAAAGAGAGACAATTTGACTTCCTCCTTTCCTATTTGAATACCCATTATTTCTTTTTCTTGCCTGATTGCTCTGGCTAGAACTTCCAATACTATATTGAATAGGAGTGGTGAGAGAGGGAGGGCATCCTTGTCTAGTGCCAGATTTCAAAGGGAATGCTTCCAGTTTTTGCCCATTCATTATGATATTGGCTGTTGGTTTGTCACAAATAGCTTTTATTATTTTGAGATACGTTCCATCAATACCTAGTTTATTGAGGGTTTTTAGCATAAAGGGCTGTTGAATTTTGTCAGAGGCCTTCTCTGCATCAATTGAGATAATCATGTGGTTTTTGTCTTTGGTTCTGTTTCTGTGATGAATTACATTTATAGACTTGCATATGTTGAACCAGCCTTGCGTCCCCAGGATGAAGCCTACTTGATCACGGTGGATAAGCTTTATGATGTGCTCTTGCAGTCGGTTTGCCGTATTTTATTGAAGATTTTTGTATTTGTGTTCATCATGGATATTGGCCTGAAGTTTTCTTTTCTTGCTGAGTCTCTGCCGGGTTTTGGTATCAGAATGATATTGGTCTCATAAAATGATTTGGGAAGGATTCCCTCTTTTTGGATTGTTTGGAATAGTTTCAGAAGGAATGGTACCAGCTCCTCTTTGTATGTCTGGTAGAATTTGGCTGTGAACCCATCTGGACCTGGCTTTTTTTGGGTGGTAGGCTATTAATTGCTGCCTCAACTTCTGCCCTTGTTATTGGTCTATTCAGGGTTTCGACTTTTTCCTGGTTTAGGCTTGGGAGGATGCAAGTGTCCAGGAATTTATCCATTTCTTCCAGGTTTACTAGTTTATGTGCATAGAGTTGTTTGTAATAATCCCTGATGATGGTTTGTATTTCTGTGGAATCTGTGGTGATATCTCCTTTATTGTATTTTATTGGATCTATTTGATTATTCTCTCTTTTCTTTTTTTATTAATCTGGCTAGTGGTCTGTCTATTTTGTTGATCTTTTCCAAAAACCAGCTCCTGGACTTACTGAATTTTTTGAAGGGTTTTTTTGTTTCTCTATCTCCTTCAGTTCTGCTCTGATCTTAGTTATTTCTTGTCTTCTGCTAGGTTTTGAGTTTTCTTAATCTGGCTCCTCTGGCTCTTTCAATTTTGTTGATAGGGTGTCAATTTTAGATCTTTCCTTGCTTCTCATGTAGGCATTTATTGCTGTATATTTTCCTCTAGACACTGCTTTAAATGTGTCCCAGAGATTCTGGTATGTTGTGTCTTCGTTCTCATTGATTTCGAAGAACTTCTTTATTTCTGCCTTCATTTCATTGTTTATCCAATCAACATTCAAGAGCCAGTTGTTCAGTTTCCATGAAGCTGTGCGATTCCGAGTTAGTTTCTGAATTCTGAGTTCTAACTTGATTGCACTGTGGTCTGAGAGGTTGTTAAGATTTCCATTCTTTTGCATTTGCTGAGGAGTGATTTACTTCCTATTATGTGTTCAATTTTAGAGTAGGTGTGATGTGGTGCTGAGAAGAATGTATATTCTGTGGATTTGGGGTGGAGAGTTCTGTAGATGTCTATTAGGTTTTCTTGATCCAAGCTTGAGTTCAAGTCCTGGATATCCTTGTTAATTTTCTGTCTCGTTGATCTATCTAATATTGACAGTGGAGTGTTAAAGTCTCCCAATATTATTGTGTGGGAGTCTAAGTCTCTTTGTAAGTCATTAAGAACTTGCCTTATGCATCTGGGTGCTCCTGTATTGGGTGCATATATATTTAGGATTGTTAGCTCTTCTTGTTGCATTGATCCTTTTACCATTATGTAATGTCCTTCTTTGTCTCTTTTGATCTTTGTTGGTTTAAAGTCTATTTTATCAGAGACGAGAATTGCAACTCCTGCTTTTTTTTTGCTCTCCATTTGCTTGGTAAATCTTCCTCCATCCCTTTATTTTGAGCCTTTGTGTATCCTTGCATGTGAGATGGGTTTCCTGGATACAGCTCACTGAGGGGTTTTGGCTTTTTATCCAATTTGCCAGTCTATGTCTTTTGATTGGGGCGTTTAGCCCATTTACATTTAGGGTTAATATTGTTATTTGTGAATTTGATCCTGCCATTTTGATGCTAGCTGGTTGTTTTGCCCATAAGTTGATGCAGTTTCTTGATGTTGATGCTCTTTACCATTTGGTATGTTTTTGGAGTGGCTGGTCCTGGTTGTTCCCTTTTATGTTTAGTGCTCCTTTCAGGAGCTCTTGTAGAGCAGGCCTGGTGGTGATGAATACCTCTGAGTACTTGCTTGTTCGTAAAGGATTTTATTTCTCCTTCACTTATGAAGCTTAGTTTGGCTGGATATGAAATTCTGGGTTGAAAGGTCTTTTCTTTAAGGATGTTGAATATTAGCCTCTACTCTCTTCTGGCTTGTAGGGTTTCTGTTGAGACATCTGCTGTGAGTCTGATAGGCTTCCCTTTGTGGGTAACTTGACCTTTCTCTCTGGCTGCCCTTAGCACTTTCTCCTTCATTTCAACCCTGGTGAATCTGACAATTATATGCCTTGGGGTTGCTCTTCTTGAGGAATATATTTGTGGTGGTCTCTGTATTTCCTTAACTCAAATATTGGCCTGCCTTGCTAGGTTGGGGAAGTTTTCCTGGATAATATCCTGAAGAGTATTTTCCAGCTTGGATTCATTCTCTCCATCACATTCAGGTACACCTTTCAAACGTAGATTAGGTCTTTTCACATAGTACCATATTTCTTGGAGACTTTGTTCATTCCTTTTTACCCTTTTTTGTCTAATCTTGCTTTCTTGTTTTATTTCATTGAGTTGATCTTTGACCTCTGTTATCCTTTCTTCTGCTTGGTCAATTCAGCTGTTGAAACTTGTGTATGTTTCACGAAGTTCTCATGTTGTGGTTTTCAGCTCCATTAATTCACTTATATTCCTCTCTAAGTTGTTTATTCTTGTTAGCATTTCGTCAAATCTTTTTCAAGGTTCTTAGTTTCTTTGCATTGGGTTAGAACATATTCTTTTAGTGCAGCAAAGTTTCTTATTACCCACCTTCTGAAGCCTGTTTCTGTCAGTTCATCACAGTCATTCTCCATCTAGCCTTGTTCCCTTGCTGGTGAGGAGTTGTGATCCCTTGTAGGAGGAGAGGCGTTCTGGTTTCGGGTGTTTTCATCCTTTTTGTGCTGGTTTCTTCCCATCTTTGTGGATTTATCCACCTGTCATCTTTGTAGTTGTTGGCTTTCAGATGGGGTCTCTGAGTGGATGTCCAGTTTGTTGATGATGAAGTTATTTCTTTCTGTTTCTTAGTTTTCCTTCTAACATTCAGGCACCTCTGCTGTAGGACTGCTGAGGTCCACTCCAGGCCCTGCTTGCCTGGGGATCACCTGCAGCAGCTGCAGAACAGTAACGTTTGCTGCCAGTTTCTTCTGCTATCTTTGTTCCAGAAGGATACCCGCCCGATGTCAGTCTGAGCTCTCCTTTATGAGGTGACTCTTTGGATATACGGGAGTCAGGGAGCTGCTTGAGGAGACAGTCTGTCCTTTATAGGAGCTCAAGAGCTGAGCTATGAGCTCCATTGTTCATTCAGAGCTGCTGGGCAGGTACGTTTAAGTTTGCTGCGGCAGAACTCATAAACCCCCCTTTTTTTTCTCAGGTGCTCTGTTGTGGGGAGTTAGGGCTTTATTTATCAGTATCCGTTGTGCTGCTGCCTTTTTTCAGGGCTGCCCTGCCCAGCGAGGAGGCAGCCTAGTCACTGTCTGCCTGCAGAGGCTTTGCTGAGCTGCTGTGGGCTCCGCCCAGCCGCCTTGTAAACTTCCCTGCAGTCCTGTTTATACAGGTATAGTTAGACTGCCTCGGCAATGGCGGCCCACCTCTGTAATGGTGGACTCTTTCTGTAATGGTGGGCTGCCTTGGCAATGGCGGACTATGTCCGTAGTGGTGGACTGCCTCGGTAATGGTGGATGCCCCTCCCCCACAGAGCTGGACCATCCCGGGTTCAGCTGTGCTTGCTGTGAAACTCTCAATCCAGAGCATTTCAGATTGCTGTTTTTTTGTGGGGGTGGGACCAGCCGAGCCTGATCACCTGGCTCCCTGCCTCAGACCCCCCCTTTTTTTTTTTTTTAGTTGAACGGGAGACTCTATCTCCCAGATGTTCCAGTCGCCTGTTGAAAAGGCGCCAGGATCTGTGTGATTTCCCGTGCAGCAACCCACTGCGCCAGCTGAAACAGCCACACTGAGATTCATGGCTCTTTTTTGTCCGGGAATCTCCTGGCCTGGCTCCTGTTTCAATCCCCTTTTTTATCAGTTGAATGGGCGACTCTTGTCTCCCAGGAGCTCCAATCACCAGCTAAAATGGTACCTGGAACCGTGTATTTTGTGCAGAGACCTGCCTTACCAGGGCGCCGGCCCAAACAGCCGCACTCGTGACCCATGGGCTCCTCCACCTGGGAATCTCCTGGTCTGTGGGCAATAAAAATCCGTCTGTAAATGCGGCATCCACTCACCCTCTGCACTTTCACTGGGATTTGCAATCCTGAGCTGCTCTTAATCGGCCATCTTGGATCCTCCATACTTTTTTTTTAAGTATTCAAATTGCCTGGTACTAGGAAGTTCTGTTGGTTATAAAGATGCTTAACAAATGGTTTTTGCCATTAAGGAATTTATCTTGTTGAAGAGGCAAGATGTATCACTCACATAATATAATCAGAGAGTAGTTTTCAGTCATTATAGTAAACTAGAGAACAATTTCATGTTGGCATGTTAAATGGGTAGGTAGTTCTTAAGGACAGAAGAGCCCAGAAGTTCTTTTGGAAAGCTTCCCAACTGGAGGGGACTGACGAGGAAATATAGCATCAGCTCAGGCAAGGAGAGAGGAGGAGCAGTGTATAAACTGAAGTGGTAAGGACCCAGAATGAGACAGCATGGCCAGAACAGAGGGAAAAGAAGCATGCTAGGTGTTGTTAGTGCCAGCATTGAGGATTCCATCTGAGTTTAGGTATTTGGGGGCTCAGAAGTACTCAGTTTACATCATTTTAGGAATCATGACATTAGTCTATGAAGGAAGCTTGGACTGTTAGGCCGTAGTATTTCCAGAACAGCCGAAGTGGTGGCTTAAAGCTGACAGTCCTGAGGTGTGCAGTATTTGAGCAGATAACTCTGCTCAAATTCTTTGCTGCCAACAGCTTGAAGTAAAACAGGAGATTTTCCACCTGCTCCCTTACCCCCGTTGCTTCCAGATGCTCACACTAGCTGGTCTGCTCTGCTTGTTGCTGGATTGTGTTTCTTTTTTATTTTCCCTGCCGAGAAACTTTCCATTTTGTTTTGGCTTTGCAGGGTTTGGAGATAGTGCAAGGAGAAGAGGACCTGAAGCAACAGCTGGCCCAGGCTCTGCAGGAGGTAACTTTGCTGTAGTACTAAGATTGTGGTGGGCTGTGGAGTGGGGAGCAGCCAGGCATCACATGACCACTGGCTGCCTCTGCTGCTGCGCCCATACCTCTGTGGCATCTCCAGTCTGCAAATAGAGCAGGTGGGTGGCAGCTGCTCACACCATCAGGTAAGAGATTCGGAGCCTTACAGACATGCCAGACACGCATGAAAAGTTAACATCTTCATCTCAGGAGAAGTTGCTCTGGCCAAGATGGACTGGAGCTTTAGCAGTTAGGAGGCTCTCTGGGGAAGTTGCTCCACTTCCAGAAAGGTGAGGGCAGCAGAGGGAAAATGTGAGCTATGACTTGGCCACCAGGGCCCGTGAAGGCCTCTGTTACTGCACTGTCCCTGAGCTGTGATCAACCAGAAACAATTCAAGAATGTACCAGTTAAGCATTTTAGGCCTGGTTGAGAATGTGTAGTTTAACAATCAACAAAACATATCAATTTATTGAATAGGTAAAACTCAACAGGACTAAAATTCTCCTAAAAGATTGCCTGTAATTTATTTAATTTAACCTGACTACTCTCATTTGGTTATTTTTTTTTCTGTGCTTTTGCATCTTTAAAACCTGCCTTGTCTTCCACCTTTAATGTATTATGATTAAGTTTAGTGCACATTTAGTCAGGATGGTTCATCTCATTGGGGAAAGTGAGCAAATCTCATTTGAATTTGTTCAGAGGAATTTATCCTTACATTCTTTTACTGTAAACCTACCTCCCAATCTTATAGTGCAAACAGTCATATAGTATTATGACAAGGTGCTTGCCTTGATCTCCTTGAGGGTTGCACAAATAGCTTTGGAAAGAGTTAGATGAAAATTAATTCAATCTTTTTAGAATTTTGTCTTTTGAGTTTATTTTCTAGGGTGGGAGAGTAGGCGTGTTTCCCCTTTGGAGCATTATTAGGTTAATATTCAGACATTGTTTCGAGATTGAAAAAGGATATGGTTCTGCAGTTGGAAATCCCTGAGGGATCACTGAGTTCCCTTCCAGGAAAACACACTATCATTCAGCATGGGATGCTTGTCCACACATTTATTAGCTTCAGATGTGATACTCTTAGGTCATGGTTCTATACCATCATGCCACTCTCAGGTGAAGCAATGGTGATGGTAGTTTTTTGTTCTACCATGCTTGTCTCTTTGAAAGCTGTTTTTTTACCAGACCATTGTAAAAACTTGCATTTATATACAGCTCAAAAAACTTCCCTTAATGCTTTTCATACCTGTTATTTTGCTTTGTTTTATTTTATTTGTTTCTTTATATTTTGAGGTGGAGTTGTGCTCTTCTTGCCCAGTCTGGAGTTCAATGTCACAATCTCAGGTCACTGCAACCTCCACCTCCTAGGTTCAAACGATTCTCCTGCCTCAGCCTCGCCTACCAAGTAGCTGGGATTACAGGCTTGCGCTACCATGCCTGGCTAATTTTGTATTTTTAATAGAGATGGATTTTCTCCATGTTGGTCAGGCTGGTCTTGAACTCCCAACCTCAGGTGATCCACCTGCCTCTGCCTCCCAAAGTGCTGGGATTACAGGCGTGAGCCACTGCACCCAGCCTGTTACTTTATTTTCTTATCAACACTGAGGTAGGAGGGGACACCTATTTTCCCAGTTTATTTTTATTTTTATTTTGAGACAGTGTCTCATTCTGTCACCCAGGCTGTAGTGCAGTGGTGCAAACTCCGCTCAATGCAGTCTCCACCTGCTGGGCTCAGGTGATCCTCCCACTTCAATCTCCTGGGTAGCTGGAACCACAGGCGCGTGCCACCATGCCCAGCAAATTTTTTGTATGTTTGGTAGAGCTGGGGTTTCACCATATCGCCCAGGCTGGTCTCAAACTCCTGAGCTCAAGTGATCCATCTGCCCCAGCCTCCTAAAGTGCTAGGATTACAGGTGTGAGCCATCACAACCAGCCATATTTTCCCATTTTATAGATGAGAAAGTTAAGATACACGTATCTAATTAGTGAGTCAAGTTGAAGACCCAGGCTTTCTGACATAACTGCTTTTTTTCCCCCCCAGGAGATTACACATTTTAAAATTTGGTTCTTGAATAATATCTTTTCAAAAATACTTATTCCACCTTCTTTTAAAAAGGATTTGAGGTGAGATTCTAAAATAAAATCTATACTTAAGCATGAGGGTGCTCATAAATTATGTTTCATAGATGTGAAACCTCTTAACAGTCAACATAGGCAGTCACAGTGAATGAGTGGTTAGCTCCAAGGTTTGCCTTCTTCCAGAAGATAGTGGCAGGGTTCAGGCAGCATTGTCTTATGAGCATTTGTAGTGTATAATTTGTAGAATAAATAGGTTAAAGATCTTTTTTATTTCAATGAAAATGACTGTCTAGTTTTTCTGATTCCCATTTCCCCCTGATTATTTCATAAAAGCCACTTCTAGTCCTGAATAGGTTGTAATTACTTACTAGTTCTTAAATACTGGTTCCTAGAATCACTTGGGTGGCTTTAAAAAACAAGCACATTTCTGAGCCCCAAGCCAAACCTACAGAAGCAGACTCAGGGACACAGTGAAAGTTCTTCAGTTGACTTGGATGGCCACCAATGTTGGGTTAATTTCAGAGTCCCTAGTGCATTTGGTGGGCCACCTTCTGTAACTGCCGTTTCCCCTGAAAAAAGCAGCAGGTAAGTAAGACAGCCTGATGGAATAAAGGCATTATTTTGAAATTGCCAATTTATCCATCCCTGAACCAAAGTCACTAACTAGAGGGAGAGAACAGGCATGTTTGTGGCTTAAAAGAAGGATGCCGTGTAGTTCATCCTGAGTATGTATCTGCTATGTTTTTGCAGCATCGGGCTGTAATGGAAGAGCTAAATCGCAGCAAGAAGGATTTTGAAGCAATTATTCAAGCCAAGAACAAAGAATTGGAGCAGACCAAGGTACTGGAAAGAAGATGGGAGGTTTAGAATTTGGTTAGTGCATGCAACTCAGCATTTTCAGCAGTGCAAGGGTTGCTATGGTAAATGAAGAGAGAGATTATGACTGCTCCTTGCCTCTGGGGAAATAATCCATAAAATTATTGAGGCCTGCAGAAGGTTCTGCCTGTAAGACAACATCTATTTCTTCCCCTTGTTCAGAAGCAAAATGCTGGGAATATTACACTTGCATCCTGCATTCTAGTCCTTTGTCCATGGTGAATACTCCTTCAAGGTGTGTCACTGAGACAGACTGAGGAATACTGTAGTCAAGAAATAGTTCTTCTTGAACTGTGTAATTTGAATTACATAAACTAAAGTGAATTACTTAATGCAATTCCTTCCCATGTCAAATAAGTAGAACTCTTGACTTAGGGGTTATAAACCAAGTGCTCACCAGGGCCAGACTGGTAATAGAAGTGAGTGAGGTGGCCTGAATGTAAGAACACAGTGGGGAGCTGAGCAGCCTATGGCTCACTGGATAGGGGTACTTGCACCCACTCGCATCCCAGGAGGCCACTCTTCTCTGCTCAGCCGATTGTTGCCATCCAGAAGTGCAGGCCCAGTGTTGTCAGATCTTCTGATGTCTCCACAGCAGATGAAAATCCAAATGTTTAAGTGAAATATCTTAATTTTTACGTATTGGTAACAACTTCAGCTTTGTGTGTGTGTGTGCGTGTTTAATATGAAGGCCAAACTAAACAAGTCTGCAGGGTGGATCCAGTCCACAGACCACCAATTTGCAACCTCTGACTTGAAGTTAACACCTAAGTCTGACTAATCTCTCATCCTGCCCCCTCCATGTACAGACCTAGAGCTGAAGGAGGGACTTGTTTTAGTTGGTTTGATTTCCTTTTTAAATCACATAATACCTTCCTCTCCAACCTCCAAGAAACTACCACATCTTTTTATACCCAGTGATTCATAAGTTCTCAGGGAATTTGACTATAGTTAGAAATGGGTCCAGACCTTTTTCACTACCCTAAGCAGTCTGCCAGTCTTTGCTTTGAGTGGAAAAGAAAATAAAAAGATGAAAAATGAGCCAGCCACTCATATATACCCAAATGGTCTTTCCACTCCCCCTCAGGGACTCTTAATGCTTTCTGTTTTGGGTATGAAGTACTAAGATAAATGTCTGCTTCAAGCGAGCATATCTAGGATCCTACTTAAAAAGTAGTCTGACCTCTTGGGGAAAGCACAGGGAGATGGTACTACAGGCCTCTGCAGGAGTGGGAAGTGGCAGGTATCATGGAGCATGGAGCCTGAAGGTAGTTCAAGAGGCCCTCTCTCCAGTTTTCTGGCTTCAGAGGTATACCTTACTTTATAGAAGAGACAGCTGCAAAGAACACAGCAACTTTAAAACTAATTCATGTTTCCTGCCTTTCTGGACTATTTATGTCTCTTTTCTTGTCTGGTGAGTTTTTAATTGTTGGGGATGATTTTATGTAACATCTGAGCTACAGCTTTCTGTAGACTACTTAATATCCCATCTGGTCTTGAGCGGTTGGTGTGGTTAGTATACCACCTGCATTTTTTCTCATTTGATTACTTTTGGAGGAGACAGAAACTACAATGGAAATACTGAAAAAGTGGTGTTTTAGTCCATTCAGGTTACTATGAAAAAAACCCTTAAACTGCGTAGCTTAAAAACAACAGAAATTTATTTCTCACGGTACTGGAGGTTGGGAAATCCAAGATCAGGGTGCTGGCATATTTGGTATCTGGTGAGGGCTGTCTTCTGACTGGAGTCTTGCTGTGTCCCTACATGGTGGAAGGGGCAAACAAGCTCTCCTTGGGCCCGTTTTATACAGGCCACTAACCCCATTTATGAGCATGGAGCCCTCATGGCCTAGTCACCGCCCAAAGGCCCCACCTCTTAACACCGTCACATTTGAAATTAAGTTTCAGCATGGGAATTTGGGGGGAAACACAAACATTCAGACCATAGCAAGTAGGGAGGGAAAATAAAGGAGGTTAGTACTCTGTATTAGAAAACAAGTATTGAGAAACAGCACCCTGTTTTATTCTCATGTTGCTGCACCAGAATGAATCATTAATTAAGACTGAATCCTATTTTAGAAAATTAACCCTGCTCCCTGTCCCATTTTACATTTTTGTTGGTTCGCTGAATGACAGGTTGGGGTCGTGTGTCTTGCAGGAAGAGAAGGAGAAGATGCAAGCACAGAAGGAAGAAGTTCTCAGCCACATGAATGATGTGCTAGAGAATGAGCTCCAATGTATTATTTGTTCAGAATACTTCATTGAGGTAATTATGAACAGTTGCTCACCCCTTCTTTTTTCTTTGAGACAGAGTCTCGCTCTGCCACCCAGGCTGGAGTGCAGTGGCATGATCTCGGCTCACTGCAACCTCTACCTCCCGGGCTCAAGCAGTTCTTGTGCCTCAGCTTCCATAGTAGCTAGGATTACAGGCATGGGCCACCATGCCTGGCTAATTTTTTGTGTTTTTAGTAGACATGGGGTTTTGCCATGTTGGCCAGGCTGGTCTCGAACTCCTGAGCGCAGGTGATCCACCCACCTCGACCTCCCAAAGTGCTGGGATTACAGGCATGAGCCACCGCACCTGGCCAACCCCTTCTTATTCTTCCAAACCTGAGTGGAGCCTGGGCTCTACAGGCTGCTTCTGCTATAGGGAAACATTCTGAAGAGCTTTTCTTCCAGGAACTTATAACTGTTTGATTTCAAGGTGACCTCTAGAGATGCACCCTTCTCATTTGTTTTTATAATCTTTCCTTTCAGTGTCCTTTTTTGGTATTTCATCTATTCTTAAATGTTTATTTGGTATGATTAACATTTTTAGCTGCAAATGAAGCCTTTATCTCTTTGTTGTTGAGGGGGAAAAGGGGCCAAATTAGATTTTGGAAGTATCAGAATAAAGCTGCTCAATAAAGCTATTCTTTACTCTGAACGGGCGCAATGCTGAGAATATGCTTATAGTGCAGCCTTTTAAACAGGTAAATGTCATTAAAATGTGGTCACTTTGGGAATTCAGTGCCCAAGCTGAATATATTTCAGGGACTCTGAGGCTCCTTATGGAAATGAAACATCTTCCTACCATTCCTTAGCCTATCATAATTTTTGCACTGGCTTATTATTTATTTAACAAATTCTGCCATTTGTGACCAGTTCATCTTAGACCACAAGTGTTAAACTCAAGTTGCTAAATGACAGTGCTTTTCAGACTCCTTTAAAAAGAAGGCTGAGTGCAGTGGCTCACACCTGTAATCTCAGCACTTTGGGAGGCCAAGGCATGCAGATCACTTGAGGTCAGGAGTTTGAGACCAGCCTGGCCAACATGGTGAAACCCTGTCTCTACTAAAAATACAAGAATTAGCTGGGCGTGATAGTATGTGCCTGTAGTCCCAGCTACTCAGGAGGCTGAGGCAAAAGAATCACTTCAATTCGGGATATAGAGGCTCCAGTGAGCCAAGATCACGCCACTGTACTCCAGCCTGGATGACAGAGCAAGGCAGTAAAAAAAGAAAAATGAAAACAAAAATAAAAAGAAAAATGCAGGTCGGGTGCAATAGCTCACGCCTATAATCTGAGCACTTTGGGAGGCTGAGGTGTGTGGATCACCTGAGGTCAAGAGTTTGGGACCAGGCTGGTAAACATGGCAAAACCCCGCCTCTACTAAAAATACAAAAATTAGCCTGGCGTAGTGGTGTGCACCTGTAATCCTAGCTACTCGGGAGGCTGAAGCAGGAGAATTGCTTGAACCCAGGAGGCGGAGATTGCAGTGAGCTGAGATCACACCACTGCTGCACTCCAGCATGGGTTACAGAGCGAGACTCTGTCTCAAAAAAAAAAAAAAGGGTACTGTATACACACACAGCTTTCTTTTCTCAGGTGATCTTTAGGGAGGTTGGGTCCGTTAGCCTCTTGAAAAATCTCTCCTGGGCAGACCTGTTTCTTTTGCTCTGGATTAGACTTCAGGTCATAATTTCCCCCATAATGATTCCATACTTTGGAGAAACTCAGTATTGGTTTGACAGGGTTTATGGACTCCAGTGGAGGAAAACAAGGAAAGGGGGTTGAAATAAATGATGAGTTAGCCAACTGGGAGCATCTGCAGAGACATAAGACTTAATTAATTTAACCTGTGTTTTATTCACAGAATACTGTCTTATCTACTCTACTGATCACCTCTTAAAATCAGTCTCAGAAAGATGTTGTATTTTACTTATTTATTTGTTTGTTTATTTTTGAGACAGAGTCTCACTGTGTCGCCTAGGCTGGAGTGCAGTGGCACAATCTCTGCTCACTGTAACCTTCACCTCCTAGGTTCAAGCGATCCTGCCTCAGCCTCCCAAGTAGCTGGGACTACAGGCACCCACCACCACACTTAACTAATTTTTTTTGTATTTAAAGATGGGATTTCACCATGTTGGCCAGGCTGGTCTTGAACTCCTGACCTCAGATGATCTGCCTGCCTTGGACTCCCATGGCCTCCCAAAGTACTGGGATTACAGTGAGCCTGGCCAGATGTTTCATTTTTGTCAGATGGGTTTTCAGGACTGTTTATGAGAGCTTGTCTCATATAATAAACACAGTGTTTTCTAGCTTCTGTGCTCAGATTGGCATTTGAAAAATACATAGTATCCATGTTATTTTGCACTGTTATCCTAAAAGCAGGAATGAGGACTTTTGAGCCTCAGAAAAAGTTGTATCTTAGGAGATGTACATAAACAAGAGTAAAAAAGAGAGGTTTATATTTTTAGGAGTGAAAAGGGCTCTGGCAGAAATTGACCAGAGGGACTATTCAGAGGAGTCCCTCAAATACAGGCTTCCTTTTGCTTTCTCTCTTTATTGGCCCATTTATTTAGATATTCAGGCACTGTCAAAAAATTCGTTGTATTTTTACTTTTTTAGTTTCTTTTTTGCTTAGCATTTTTAGTTGCCTTCTATATTATTTTACTGTTTTAGTTTCTTTGAAGATGACATCTTATGTAATTCTGTATACTAATATTTAGTATGCATTCTCTTTCCTTTATTAATTAGCAAGACATAAATTTGTTTTTCTTTTAAAAAATTTGTTTTATAAAAGCATCAGATTGGTGGAAAATAATTATAATTTTTTTTGTTTGTTTTTGTTTTATTTCCAGACAGGGTCTCACTCTGTCACCTAGGCTGGAGTGCAGTGACACCATCATGGCTCACTGCAGCCCCCACGTCACAGGCTCAAGTGATCTTGCCACCCCAGCCTCCTGACTCGCTGGGACTACAGACTGTGCCACCATGCCTGGCTATTTTTTTTTTTTTTTTTCTTTGAAAGCTGAGGTTTCACCATGTCTCCCAGGCTGGTCTCGAATTTCTGGGCTCAAGCAATCCACCAGCTTCAGCCCCCCAAGTGCTGGGATTAGAGGTGTAAGCATTCACAAATTGTTCTCATTAGGGAACAATTACTAGTCCTACTCATATCCAGTAACATTTTGTTTGCAAGGTGGTCCCCACATTGGCAGTGTGGTCTGAGTTGGTGGACTGAAACAGATAAATCAGCCTGCCTGGAGCCTGAGTCTGTGACCTTAACTTTGACAAAAGAAAATAATTGTCTAACATAAAGCTTAAAATTTCCCAACCCTAAGATAGATAGATAGATAGATAGATAGATAGATAGATAGATTGGAGAAAGAGTCTCCTTCTGTCACCCAGGCCAGAGTGCAGTGGTATAATTTTGGCTCGCTGTGACCTCCACCTCCTGGGTTCAAGCGAATCTTGTGCCTCAGCTACCTGAGTAGCTGGGACTACTGGTGTGTACCACTATGACTGGCTAATTTGCATATTTTTAGTAGAGACAAGGTGTTGCCATGTTGCCCAGGCAGGTCTCGAACTCCTGACCTCAGGTGATCCACCCACCTCGGCCTTCCAAAGTGCTAGGATTACAGGCATGATCTATTGCGCCTGGCCCAACCCTAAGAATGATTCTAATGCTCTTTGTAAGCCCTGGACATGGGATTGTGGTTAACTTTCCATTTGGCCTTTGACATTTGCTCTTGTGCTAACTTTGAGATCACAAGCATCCTGAGAAAGTAGCCATGAAGGTTCTGATGTGTGTGTTCACATTCCCATTGTAGGCTGTCACCTTGAACTGTGCCCACAGTTTCTGTTCCTACTGTATCAGTGAATGGATGAAGCGGAAGATAGAATGCCCCATTTGTCGGAAGAACATTGAGTCCAAAACATACTCTTTGGTTCTGGACAATTGCATTAATAAGATGGTAGATAATCTGAGCTCAGAAGTGAAAGAACGACGGATTGTTCTCATTAGGGAACGAAAAGGTGAGTGGATGTAAGAATCCCTGCCCCTCAAGAAAGGACTTACTTACTTCAAAACTTCAGCACATTTTTTTGGAAGAGAGAGTCAGATAAATGATTCTTAAACTAGGGAAGAGGTGGAATAAATGGGGAGGAGTAAAGGGAGTTAAAGAATGCATGAGAGGAAGAGTTGAGATAGAATTCACCGCAACTGTTACTTGAGCAGCAGGACAGTGGAAGGCTAAGTACGTGTGCCTTGGTTGTGGGGGTAAAATAAAGATGTGATTTTTTAAAAAAACACAGTCAGACGTTCTGCTGCACCAATCACTAGATGGTGCTGTTGTCAAGACCCTTAGTTGCTGTCCAGGTGTTGCAAAACCCTTAAGTTGGGTATACAGTGAGTTATAAATAGGATAGTAGAGCCAGGAATCTGATGCTGACTTGCAGCTGTGGTTTGAAACTGGCTCTCAGTTGGTCCCCCAGAATGGAGGCAGCAAGCTTGTCACAGAGGCAGGAAGTGCAGAGGCTGAGCAGGATGTGTGTCTGAGCCTTTTATGCCCAAGGAATACATCCTGACCTGTGGGAGGGTCGGTCGGCCTTTGGAAGTTCATTCACTGGAACTGAAGTTTTACCACTTTACTGACAGCTGTGTGCTCTTGGGTTTTGTGCCTAAATTTAAGCCCCCCACAGATTTTCACCTCCAAGAGCTACTTGATTCTGGCAGAATCCCATTGCTCTTCCTTTTCACCTCCCATCACTCCGTAAGCATTTATAGGAATACTACACTAGGCATTGGGAGAAAAAGATAAGACATTATCTCAGCCCTTATAGCACTCATGCCTGGTGGAGGAGATAGGCAAGTAGATAGTATGATGAGTTCCATATCAGGGTGCTATGAAACTTCAGAGGAGGAGACACACCTGATGTGGCCTGGGCAAGTACAGCTATGGGAGAAAGCTTCATCGAGGAAATGACATTTGAATGAGCCTTAAAGGTTCCCTAGGAGGTTAGCTTTCCAAGCAGAGGCAATAGCACAAGCAAAACACAGGCATGAGAAGCAGTGACCTGCCCTGCCCCAGTTCCCAGTGTGGCCCACACAAGACATAATATTCACATGATGCCAAAGCTTAGAAAGTATCTGTGGAGGCCTTGTGAATGTTTTCTTCTTCCTTCTTTGCCTTATTGAGAGGAGCAGTGATCTGGGAACCCAGATCTGGCCAAGATCAGGTTGTGACCTTTCAGCTGAAGTATGCTGAGTCGAGGGATGGGGTTGAGGGGTAAACCTAGGGACCCCCATGGTTTTTTTCACCCAGTCCACCACCTAAGTTCCCTCCTTGCAATCTAAGCACGGTAAATGGCTTCACAAAACATTAGAACGGGAAAGAAGAAGCGGGCACTTGTGGTTCACGCCTGTTATCCCAGCACTTTGGGAGGATGAGGTCAGGAGTTCGAGACCAGCCTGGCCAACGTGGTGAAACCCTGTCTCTACTAAAAACAAAAAAATTAGCTGGGCGTGGTGGTGTACACCTCTAGTCCCAGACATGGTGGCACAGTCTGTAGTCCCAGCTAGTCAGGAGGCTGGGGTGGCAAGATCACTTGAGCCTGTGATGTGGGGGCTGCAGTGAGCCATGATGGCGTCACTGCACTCCAGCCTGGGCGACAGAGTGAGACCCTGTCTGGAAATAAAACAAAAACAAACAATAAAAATTATAATTATTTTCCGCCAATCTGATGCTTTTATAAAACAAATTTTTTTAAAAGAAAAACAAATTTATGTCTTGCCTCTTAGAAAGCTGAGGCAGAAGAATCACTTGAACCTGGGAGGCAGAGGTTGCAGTGAGCGGAGATTGCACCGCTACACTCCAGTCTGGGTGACAGAGTGAGACTGTGTCTCAAAAAGAAAGGAAAGAGAGGAACGGTTGGTCTTTCTGCAAGACTCGAGTTCAGCACTGCCAATCCTTCGCCATCCGAACCTAGAGGGCATCCAGTCACCACCTACAGGGGTCCGACGTACCCACGGCTAACTGAGAGGCCTTCCCAGCGCTTCATTTTTGCCGTTTGGGTTTGCAGCGGGGCACTGTAGAATGCCATAGTGTCTTCTACCGACTGTTCGCCAGTCTCTTGGGCCGGGAGGAACAAGGACCTTTCGGGGACCCGTAGCGGACTGATGGCCGGTGAAAAAGTTGAGAAGCCGGATACTAAAGAGAAGAAACCTGAAGCCAAGAAGGCTGATGCTGGTAGCAAAGTGAAAAAGGGTAGCCTCAAGGCTAAAAAGCCCAAGAAGGGGAAGCCCCATTGCAGCCGCAATCCTGCTCTTGTCAGAGGAATTGGCAGGTATTCCCGATCTGCCATGTATTCCAGAAAAGCCTTGTACAAGAGGAAGTACTCAGCGGCTAAATCCAAGGTTGAAAAGAAAAAGAAAGAGAAGGTTCTTGCAACTGTTACAAAACCAGTTGGTGGTGACAAAAACGGCGGCACCCGGGTGGTTAAACTTCGCAAAATGCCTAGGTATTATCCTACTGAAGATGTGCCTCGAAAGCTGTTGAGCCACGGCAAAAAACCCTTTAGTCAGCACGTGAGAAAACTGCGAGCCAGCATTACCCCCAGTACCATTCTGATCATCCTCACTGGTCGCCACAGGGGCAAGAGGGTGGTTTTCCTGAAGCAGCTGGCTAGTGGCTTGTTACTTGTGACTGGACCTCTGGTCCTCAATCGAGTTCCTCTGCGAAGAACGCACCAGAAATTTGTCATTGCCACCTCAACCAAAATTGATATCAGCAATGTAAAAATCCCAAAACATCTTACTGATGCTTATTTTAAGAAGAAGAAGCTGCGGAAGCCCAGACACCAGGAAGGTGAGATCTTCGACACAGAAAAAGAGAAATACGAGATAACAGAGCAGCGCAAGATTAATCAGAAAGCTGTGGACTCACAAGTTCTACCAAAAATCAAAGCTATTCCTCAGCTCCAGGGCTACCTGCGATCTGTGTTTGCCCTGACAAATGGAATTTATCCTCACAAATTGGTGTTTTAAATGTCCTAATAATCTAATTAAATAACTGATTGCCTTTAAAAAAAAAAAAAAAAAAAAAGAAAGGAAAGAAGGGCCCTGTGTCCTAAGTTCACAGAGTCCTGTGACACAGAGTTAATTCTGCAGAGTAATAACAGATCCCCTTTTCTCTCCAAAGGCTAAAGAGGGTGTCTCTCACCTTTTTGCTAACACTAGAGGGCTACACAGTAAAATGAGTCAGGCTTCCTGTTAAATGCATCGGCTGGGAACTGTTCTGGCACCCATCTTGGTTTCTGTAGTTATCGCACTGAGTGCAGCTTTGAGGTTTTCTCTAGAGATCGACAGGTTTTCTGAGACCTAATTTAGGGAAAGACATGCCAGAGTTATCAACAGCTTCACTGGGCTTAGAGAAAATTCTCAGTTTAAATACCAACCTTCCTTCCATATTCCAGGGCCAATTGAAAGCTGGTTTAATCCCCGTTGCATGGGAATTTTTTAAAAGGACCAAATTTAGGATCTGGGAACTAGGATTGGCACACCTATAATTGTCAAAGTCCCAACACTGCAGGCCCTGGCTCAGGACTTGCTCTTATAAATTCAGAAGAGACCTGCCTGCCTGTGGCAGTAGGGGGTGGTCCATGCAGGCATGCCTGTATTCTGATTTCACCAAGAGCAGCCTCACTTCGAGGCTGCCTCAGCTGGTTATTGAAGTTTCATGTGTCAGTGGGAGGGGTAAAGTCTCATGACTGATTAGCCATTGATCTCTTGTGTGAGGCCAGAGAAGAGGAGGAGAGTGAGAATGTTAGGATGCTGGGTCCTGAGTTGGAGAACGGATGCTCTGGAGCTAGGGCACGAGACAGACATTCAGCAAGTCTTGTGTCATGAAGCATTGTGGCTCTGGGATATGGACATGCGATTTTTCTGAATGGAAAAGTTGTTTTTGAAATCCCTTATAGAGGCTCTCCCTCTGGAGCTGGTGAGGTGAGAGGGCAGTCTTCTGTCAGCTGCTCCCTCCCGTTTCTTCTGTTCTCATTTGATGTTAGTTGGTTGACAAGAGTGTTTGTTAAAACTCTTATGTTTTGCTTTTCCTAGCTGTTTCTTTGGGTTGTACTCAGAAAAAAACAAATGATGTAGAAGTAAAATCTCCTTGGTCCTGTAGAACGGTGATTTTGACCAAGGGGCTTTTTCAAACCACATTCCTTAGCTCCCTTGCTACTATTTTTTTTTTTTTGGAAATGGAGTCTTGCTCTGTCGCCCAGACTGAAGTGCAGTGGCGCGATCTTGGCTCACTGCAACCTCTGCTTCTCAGGTGTAAGTGATTCTCCTGCCTCAGCCTCCCGAGTAGCTGCGATTACAGGTGTGCACCACCGTCCCCAGCTAATTTTTGTATTTTTAGTAGAGACAGGGTTTCGCTATGTTGGCCAGGCTGGTCTCCAACTCCTGACCTCAAGTAACGTGCCCCTCGCAGCCCCCCAAAGTGCTGGGATTACAGGCGTGAGCCACTGCACCCGGCTCCTTGCTACTATAATAGTGAATTGTGGCTACTAGTGAGAGTGTGCCGTGGCCTTCACGTGTGCTGAGATGGGGAGAGGCATTTGTGAACTATTAACTTGTGTGAATCTGTGAGACAAAGGCCCCTCTAGAGGTTGGGAGTCTCAGGGAAGATGGACCCAGGTCAGACTATGTAGCCTGTATCTCTTGCTAGCTTCCTATAGGTGAAGTAGAGGGTGTTCCCGATACAGGACAGGAGAAACCGGCAAAGCCCAGGCTCTGAAGACTGTCCATCAGCCCACCTGTAAGGTTCTCCGATATGCCCATCCTCCTTTGCTGAAAGACAGCCTTTTAAAGGGAGGTTTGAGGGAGTGGCAGCAGTAATCCTGTCTGGCAAGTTGAACATTTCCAGAGAGAATACTTGTTAGCAGGTACTCATAACCTACTCAGTCCTGTCCCCAGAGAATCAGGGTCAGGTGCATGAAGTCAGCATTTCTGCCTGCCCTGTATAAGACAGTGTTTGTGTAAGGGAAATTGGATCTTGGCAAGGTCAGGATGTGGTGGGAGTGTCCACATGCTTGTACTCAAATAGTTATGTAACACTGTATTCTTAAAAATCTTTTCACTTTAAAAAATGTATGCTTTGCAAAATTGTCATGGGATAGAACATTAGCAGACTTGTTACAAGAAGCTTTTTTATTTCTTCATCACTACTTCCCTATTCATCCCCTTCTTTTTTCCTTCTTTTCTCGTTTCCTATTATCTTTCCTTATCGTCAAGATGTGATTTTTCCTGTTTAATTTCTTTCCCTTCATTTTTTTTGAAAACAGGGTCTCACTCTGTGACCAGACTGGAGTGCAGTGGCGTGATCACAGCTCACTGCAGCCTTGGCCTCAGGCGATCCTCTTACCTCAGCCTCCCAAGTAGCTGGGACCACAGGCGCATGCCACCACACCCAGCTAATTTTTTGTAGAGACAGGGTTTCACCATGTTGTCCAGGTTGATCTCAAACTCCTGAGCTCAAGCAATCTACCCGCCTCGGCCTCCCAGAGTTCCAGGATTACAGGTGTGAGCCACTGTACCTGGCCTAATTTTTTTCCCATCACTCAGTCTTATTGGCAGCTGAGAATATACAGTTTTAAATGACAAGAGCATCATAGGAACTATTCATCCAGTGAAACTAAATAGAGGTGCGCTGTGGGATTAATTGGACTGTATGGAGTAGCAACGCAGGAAGTCCTAGAACCTCGAATTCCTTATTGTCTCTGTAATCCTGTGATTTCAGAATGGTCCTTCCATCTGGAGGGCCACAGGCTCCTCTCTGACTTTGTGCTCTGTGGTAGAGTGTCTTCTCCCTTTCACCAAAATCTACTACCGTCCTGCAGGCACCCAGAAAAGTTTTCACAGCTTCGGAGAGTGGCTTTCTTAGATGCTATTAATCATCCTTCAGTGCATCCTAAATGTAAAGAAGATTGAGTTTGAGGGAACCGTGCATGCCAGAGTTGAGAGATCCAGGGCTGACTTTGACTGCCTGGCTACAACAGCTTTAAATACACCCTGAGGAATCCAACGCAGGAGAGTCAGTGACTCCAGTGAGCCCTACACCATGCTGTACTGAAAGTGAAAATCAATGCTTGCTGGCCACGGTGGGATCCCATTGCTCCTGGAGGCTGCAGCCCAGCTAGCAGCCCACCAGCCCAGCTTCTCCATCAGGCTGGGAAAAAGGACCTGGAGATGGAACGTGAGCAGTTCTGGCCATCTCTGGTGTTTACCAGGAGACATTTCAGATTATTCATTGCTGTTTCCCACAGTAAAAGTTTCTCCTGCCCTTTTTTGGTTTTTAGTGATAACACAGTTATTTTGGCTTTCTAAAAAGTGGATCCTCCTTCCCTCCGAACATGTAATTTTATGATTTTTCACACCTACTTCCAGGAATGTCTATTTTAGCAGACTACCTGTGCAAATATAGAGCAGTGTCATTAACGAAAGCAGCTTTTCTTTGAGTTTCTTGGTTAACCCTAGATGAATACTGAATATTTTTAGAGCAAGCTCGAGTAAGTTGATAGTCTATGAACTAATCCTAGAGAGTGGCTGATTATATCTAATCAGCTGGATATATATTTTGTCCCAACTGTCTGCTGCTGTGGTTCTTAATAAATCTGATATAACCAGACATGCTCCTTTTCCTGGCTGGGGCTTCTATTTCAATTACTTTCTGTACCCTGGAGAGTCTGGACTGCTTTTACCCTTGTCTCATTAAACTTGAACCAGAACCAACCCCAAAGAAACACCTCTTCTTGCTTCCTTTCTTCTGGGTCTTTCCTTTTTTTCTGTCGCCCAGGCTGAGTGCAGTGGCATGATCTCAGCTCACTACAAACCTCTGCCTTCTGGGCTGAAGTGATCCTCCCACCTCAGCCTCTCTAGTAGTTGGGACTACAGGGGTGTGCCACCATGCCTGGCTAAGTTTTTGTGTTTTCTATAGAGATGGGGTTTCATTATGTCACCTGGTCTTGAACTCCTGGTCTCATAGGATCAACCCACCTCAGCTTCCCACAGTGCTTGAGTTACAGGCATGAGCCACCACACCCAGTCCTGGGTCTCCCCTTTTTCTTAGCACCTACTGAATGCCAAGTGCTTGGGGATAAAAATGAAGAGGGCATATGCAGCCTCTGCCCTCATGGAACTTCTGCTCTAGGTGCAGGCCCTAGGCTGCTTGAAGTAAAGTGCTACAATATGAGAGGTAAAGGGTGGTAAGTCAAGGAAAGGCTTCCCTAAGTCAGTGAAGGACATGGAGCAAAAGCAAAGGATTTTGAGGGGCTGGGAGAAATACAGAGTGCTAGAGAGAATGTTGAGCATTGAGGCTGGAAAAATGGGCAGAACTGGGTCATGGTGTTACAGACATGTTGCAGCATTAGTCTAGGGGCAGGGGAAACTATCAGAAGATACTAAGTGGAGATCTGACTGTTGATGTTTGTGTGCTTCTGGATAGGTTAGTCTGGCTGTAGTGAAGAGACTACATGGTACTGGGAACAAGAATAAAGGTAGTAATCATGGCCGGCGATGATAGTGGCTGGGCTAGAGAAGTAGCAGCAGGGATGAAGGGCCAGAGTGGATAGATGCAAGAGGTAGTTACGGAGGCAGAATCTACATGTTTGTGGGACTGATGTGCTGTGGGGAGTGCAAGCGAGCTCAGATCATGCCCAGGTTTCTTTCTATTAGGGGCACCTGAGTTGATGATGATGCATTTACTAAAATAGGAGCAGCTGGGGCAGATAATGTAGTTTTCAACTGAAAAGTTTAAAGCTCTTGACATCAGTGGAGCTGTTGTTCAGTGGGTATTTGAATATGTGGATCTGGAGCCTAGAGGACAGGCCCAGTTGAGATTCTAGGTTTGGGGACCATGAGCCATGGAAGTGGATGGACCACTGACCCTCTCTGTGGTGCTAAGAGCCAAAGGGCAAGTTCTTAGTCGGAGAAACACAAACATTTATGGGATGAGTAGAAGAAGAGGAGCCTGCAGAGCAGGCTGATGAATGGCCAAAGAGAAAGAGATGGAAAAGAGGGATGTGGGGCAGGCAGCAAATGACATCGGAATTGGCACATGCCGATCCTCACAGCTACTTGGGAGGCTGAGGTGGAAGGATCACTTGAAGCCAGGAGTTCAAGACCAGCCTGGGCAACATAGTGAGACCCCCCCCCCATCTCAAAAACAATTAGGCATGGTGGCACATGCCTGTGGTCCCACCTACTCAGGAGGTTGAGGTTGGAGCATCCCTTGAACTCAGGAATTTAAGGCTCCAGTAAGCTGTTACTGTACCACTGTTCTCCAGCCTGGGCAAAAGAGCTAGACTCCGTCTCTCTCTTTCTTTTTTTGAGACTGAGTCTCACTCTGTCACAAGGCCGGAGTGCAGTGGTACAATCTCGGCTCACTGCAGTCCCTGCCTCAGCCTTCCGAGTAGCTGGGACTACAGGTGTGCACCACTATGCCCAGCTAATTTTTGTATTTTTAGTAGAGACAGGTTTCACCGTGTTGGCCAGGATGGTCTCGATCTCTTGACCTCGTGATCCACCCACCTCGACCTCCCAAAGTACTGGGATTACAGGCATGAGCCACCGCACCAGGCCCCCCCCATCTCTTTAAAAAAAAAAAAAAAGACGTTAGATGGTGTGTTTTGAGTTCTCCTGTCCACACTTTTGTCTGTGTTAGCCTCTCCCCATTACATCCTAGACATTGCCCTCTTAATTCTTTGAAAGCATTTGCCAGATTGAAATAATATTTGTTAGTGTACTCTTGCCTCTAGATTTCTGAACTCCTGGAGGGCAGGAATTTCATCTTATTACTTGTAGTATTCTCAGGGCATAGAAGAGTGTTTGGCACATGGTAGGTCTTCAGTAAACTCTTCAGTTTATGAAGAATTTTAAAGTGAGAAGTCAACATTTGAAATGCTGCTGAGACATTAAACAAGATAAGGATGAAAAATTGCCCATTGAATGTGCAGGCATGTGGGATATCGGTGGCTTTAATAGAAGTTGTGGGATGGTGGAGTCAAGTCAGTTTACAGTGATTGGGGAATGAGTTTGAGGTGAGGGAGTACAGAAAGAATAGATAACTTCTTCACAAAATTTGACTATGACTAAGATGGTGAGGACCACCACCAAAAGAGGGCTGTATTTGGAGGAGGAAGTAGAGTGAAATGGAGTTTTTGTTGTTTTTTTAAAGACAAGAGATTCGAGCATGTTCAAATCTCAAATTGAAAGGAACCTGTAGAGAAGGGGATGTGGGAAAGCCGAGATAGCGGACAGGGTGTGATTCTGTGGAAGGCAGAGCTCAGACAGGCATGGAAGTTTACTTGAGGAGAGTCGAGAGAATTTCTTTCTTGTGGCTTCTGTGTTCTTCTGTGAACTAGTAGTTGAGGCCATCAGCTAAGAGGGAGGGAGCCCCACTTGGTTCTCCCTCTAAGACTGAAGGCATCCCCAGCCCCAAGGCACACCACCTCAAAGGCTACCCAGAAGTGGTAGACAAATAATTTTTGTAGCCCTTTCAGTCTCCTACCAAAGCATTCTAGACTTTGGTCTCAGAGAAAGGGGACACTTTGCTTGGTGACTTTATTGTGCCTTTGGCATAGGCCAGGATCTCCACCTTTCTGGGATCAAGGAAGCAGAAGCTATTGGAAAAGCCTGGAGGCTAGTAAGTAAATAGCCTTTCTTGTCCCCTCCCTCTCCAGATAGAGGAAGAACTCCCTCCTCTCCCTGCCTGTTCCTGTATATAATTCATTCCCTCCTTTAACATCCTTTTACAGATATTTATTGAGGGCCAGGTTGGTGTTAGGCACTGTTCTACATGCCGGGGTTACAGAAAGTAAAAATCTAAGTTAGATGTCATTTGTGCTATGGAGAGAAATCAAGCAAGAAGTGGGGAAGGGGTGATGGTGAAAGCCTTGGCAGTTCTTGTTAGGGTAATCAAGGAAGGTGCCTCTGAGCAGGTACTATTTGAGGGAGGCTCTGAAGGAGACGGCCATGCTGCCATGTAGAGAAAGAGGGAATGGTAAGGGGGAGCATGCTGGCGTGTGGGAGGAGCAGCAAGGAGGCCAGTTCTGGGGAGCGGTGGGAGTGGGTAGGAGATGAGGAGAGGAAGCTTGGGCAAGGCGCAGATGGTGTAGGGCCTTGTAGGCCTTTGAAAGGACTTTTACTATGAGAGGAATGGGGAGTGGGCTTTGAGCAGAGAGGGACATGATCTGACTTCTGTTTTCTCAGTTTGCTGTGGCTGCTGTGTGAGGAAGAGATGGGGTGGCGAGGCTGGAAGCAGGGAGTCCAGGGAAGGGAACTGCAGGCTCCTCAGTTACTTATTTCTCTTTTCTTTTTCTTCTAAGCAAAGAGATTGTCCTGAAGACATGCTCTCAGAGCATTTGAAAGACTGCCAGGCTCTGGGAGCCTGAGATGGTCTGGAGGATTCTCTCTGGCCGACTCTGCTACTCTGAAGGTCAACTGAGAAGTCTTGTGGGACAGAGACTGAGTTAGCAAGCCCTTAGTCACTTGCCTTCCACGGTGGCCAGCCCTGCTGCCATCCTTGGCTGAAGCACCCCCGGGATTCATGGCGCCCAGCTGCTTCAGGGTACTTCACAGACTCTGCCTCACTACATGTTGAATGAGTTATTTGAGTTCTGTTTTGTTTTTTTTAATTTGTTGTTGTTACTGTTTTGATACCTCAGAAGTACCTCTGTTGACAATTGTTTTGGACAGGTTGGGTGTACCCCATGGCTGCCCATGAAGGCAGCGTCTGTTTTGAGAGGATGGCTTACCTCTTTGTGAAAATACGATCTCATTTCCTGGAAATAAAACCTGTCAGTTGCTCAGCTGGGCTTTGGTGTATTTACCTTCCTTCCCTTCCTGCTCCCAGACAGTCTCACAAGTAAATACCAGTAGCTCATAGATTACAACCAAGAAAGTGACTGTATCAGATGATAGACTTCAAGTGAATGGCAGCCTCAGAAGCCAAGCCCCAGATCATGGCCATTCCAGTGAGCTCAGCTTACTCCCTAGGTGAGTCGCTGTTTACCTTGTTTGAGGGATGGAGGAATGCCTTTCCTTCAGCTGGCGTTTGAATGTTTCCAAATCTATTTTATCTAGTGTCATGAACACTCAGGCAATGATTTTATGACAACTTGATGTGCTTTTTCTTTAGTTTTTCTTTTAAATTAAAAGTTTTCTTTCTTTTCTCCACCTCCCCTTTATTTTTATTTTTGAGACAGTATCTGACTCTGTCACCCAAGCTGGAGTGCAATAGCACAATCTCAGCTCACTGCAACCTCCACCTCCCAGACTCAAGCCATCCTCCCACCTCAGTCTCCCAAGTAGCTGGGACTACAGGCATGTACCACCATGCCTGGCTAATTTTTAAATTTTTAGTAGAGACAGGGCTTCACCATGTTGGTGAGGCTGGTCTCAAACTCCCGACCTCAAGTGATCTACTTGCCTCAGCCTCTCAGAGTGCTGGGATTGCAGGCATGAGCCACTATGCCTGGCCAGCCTCCCCTTTTTAAACAGAAAGGAAACTAGTTTTGATGTGTAGGAGATAGAAGGTTAGGGACAACCTGGGGCATCATTGCTTTCCTGTGATGAGAATGAGGAAAATATGAGAAATTAAAGAATGGTCACTTGAAACTAGGAGCCCTTTACTAGGATTATGAAACTGTGCATTATATAATGATTTGCTTCCCTCTGCCTTTTTACTGCCTACCTAGAGAACCATTCCTTTTTCCACTTTTTTTTTTTTGTAGAGATGGAATCTTGCTATGTTGACCAGACTGGTCTCAAACTTCTGACCTCAAGCAATTCTCCTGCCTCAGCCTCCTAAGATGCTGGGATTACATGCGTGAGCTACCACATCCCACCAAGAACCATTCTTTTGTAGTTCTTTTTATTCCACGTATTTTCTTTTTCTTTTTTTGAGATAAAGTCTCACTTTGTTTCCCAGACTGGAGAGCAATGGTGTGATCTCAGCCCACTGCAACCTCCACCTCCCAGGTTCAAATGATTCTCGTGCCTGAGCCTCCTGAGTAGCTGGAAGTACAGGCAGGCACCACCATACTCAGCTAATTTTTGCATTTTTAGCAGAGATGGGGTTTCACCATGTTGACCAGGCTGATCTCAAACTCCTGACCTCAAGTGATCTGCACACCTTGGCCTCTAAAATGCTAAGATTACAGGCATGAGCCACTGCACCCAGCCTGTACCCCAAGTATTTTCATAAACAGTTGGAAACTATTGACTTGCCAACTTTTTAAGCTGGTAGGCATTTTTTCTTTGTTGAATATACTGTGACTTTTGGGATCCTTGAGTCCTTAGTTTTCATTCTTCTGCCCATGATTACTGATTGACATACTGGTAGAGTCAGGGAGGAAGTGAGTTAAACAAGGAAAAAATGCTTTAAAAATCCTTAACTATAACCACATCCTAACAATTCTGGGAAAATAGAACAAAAGGAAAAGATCGTTACCATCTTGATTTAATAACATCCTGTTTCCCCATATATGCGTTTTGTTTATAGATTGCATGGGTATATGTAAATTTTTATATATTCCGTCTTTAGTTTACAAATTGTAATTCATTTTTCAGAGAGTACAGACATACACTTTTTGAGCAGGCAATATGTTCACGTGATTTGAAATTAAAGGTACAGAATACCATAGAATGCCTCACCCTTTCCCCACAGTGACTACTTCCCGTCAGAAGCAGCAAGCATTACAGTTCCTTGTGTATCCATTCTTCCAGAGATCTTCTCCGTCTCTCGAAGCAAATACACATGTGGTCTTTTCCCTTGTTTTGCACAGTGATATAAACCGTACATTGTTCTGTACTTGCTTTTTTCAGATATATGTTGGCAACTGTTCTGTGTCAGTACATAGTTTGTTACAGCTGCCTATTATATCATTGCGTATTTGTACCATAATTTAGTTTTCTGGCCTATTTTTGATGGGAATCTAGGTTGGTTTAAACCTTTTTACTCTTAAAACAATGCTGCAGTTAAGACTATTGTACATACATCATTAGAGAAGAGATCTTTTAAAAAGAAACATCTTTTTAAAAATTATTTTATTATTATTTTTTTAATAGAGACAGGGTCTCACTACGTTGCCAAAGCTGGTCTTGAAATTCTGGTCTAAAGCAATCCTACCACCTCGGCCTCCCGAAGTACTGGGATTACAGGCATGAGCCACTGTATCTGGCCAACAAGAAACGTCTTGACTTGAGTCTGAAGACCATGTACTGAGTCTGACCTCACAGACTGACGGCTCCATCCCACAGCTGCTGGACACAGAGTGTTTGCAGCCCCCTTCCTTCAGAACACCACATTCCTCTCAAGTGTTCCACAACATCTAGGAAAGTGAGCTCTTAAAGACAGACTAAAAAGAGTAATAAATCAATACAACAAAATTTAAAAGCCAGACTAGCAGAGTTTGAATCTTGGCCCTGCTGTAACTGTGGGCCTTGGGCAAATTACTCAACCTCCTTGTATCTTGGTTTGGTTTCTTCATCTCTGAATAATTATATCTGTCATCATTGCACTGATCACAAACAAAAGCCTGAATGTACTATTTTTAAAAGACAAACCAAAAATTAACCTCAACTTGCATTATTTCTTTGAGCTACAGAATGTTCTTTCCTTGGAGAGATTTCTGATATTAAATATCATCTGCATTTTGCTTATCTAGAAAATACATGGCAACTTCTCTGCCTTGCAGCATCAAACTATAGTATAGCTGAGCCCCAGTGCTGTGCAGCCTGGCTCTAATTAACGTTCTTTACAACAGGGCTCTGGGGAACTGGAAAAGGGGGTTTGTTCCATATTCCGGTTTTATTAAGCCAATAAATGCAGCCAGCTATATGAAGCACTTTGCAGCGAATGGCAGGTGTCCCGTATCTGGTTATGCTAGCCTAGAAAGGGCTCACTCTACCTCTAGGCCTGCTTCATTCCCAATAATCAGACTATGCTAAAGCAGGAGACTTTGTCCTTTGTGGATTGGATAGCTGGATACCCATCATCTGTTTCTCTAATTGGAAGCTGCTGTTGTATGGAAAGACCTACATTTCCCCTTGTCTCCAGTTCTCTCACCACTTTTTCCTCTGTGAGTGACCATCCAGGCAGTCACCACAACTGCTGGCGTGTCTGGATTGGTAGCTCCTTCAAACTGCTTGTTGGCTCTTTACAGCCTTTCTCTGTGGCTGGAATCTCTCCACCCCATCATATCTAAGGATAGCCCAGAAACATGGGGTGCCCTAGACATGTTTATCTTGACATTCAACCCCCTAGGCTTCTGATGAATCCAACGATTAGGTAAATTTGACCTAGAAATTAAGAGAAGCAATGTCCGATTTGTATTGTGGTCCTAATCTAAGAAGATCAGGAGAATCCTGGAATTGTTATCTGTCGCTTACTCTGAGATGCAGACTTGTTCATGGGGCCTGATTTGAGCAGAATGCTGCTATTGGTCACAACACACCAAGGGCTTGTTCTGAACCCTAGTTAGGAGGTTCATTCAGAGAAGGAAACTTCCTACCTAGTCAGCTTTTTCAGCTTCTCCCACAAATGGGAGTTGAGGCAGTGGGAGTGTGGGGCTCCTGGGAAGAAGACGGGGCCTTGTGTTAATGAGAAATAATGAGGTGTTTTCTTGATTCTTCTCTTTAGAACACCATATGAATCCTAGGAAAGGGCTGAGCCTGTGATAGGTACTCATAAATACTCTCAAGCTATCATCCCTTTGTCTACATCCCCAAACGGTGTACCAATGATGGGCTACCTGAGCTCAGTCTCCAAGCAGTTTCTCCTGCTTGCTGCTGCTTTACTAAATTCCAGATGCCCACCTCATCCCATTTCCAGAGCTGCTATCCCTGCTGTCCACTTTCCTTCAGGCTCTATGAATACTTCAACCTTCCACAATTTGTGGCCATTTTTACTCTGCATGTATCCAATAAATTCAATTCAGCAATAGTTATCAAATGCCCATTTTCTTACTAGGCACTGCTCTAGGTGTTCTATGGCAATGCGCAAAACACAACCGTTGTGAGCTAACGTTCCAGTAAGGTGTCAACAGCGTTGCCAAGGTTTTATCAGATGCTGTGGGAGGGGTTTATGCACTGCTTCCTACTGAGCTAGCAATATTGGATGTTTCCTCACGTTCCTCAGGCTCCACGCAGGAGAGCCAGCAGGCTGCACTGGCCCACTCCAAGATCCAGAGCTGGCATTTCACATCTCTAGGACCTGGGTAGCCCAAGCCTTTTCAGTCTGCTGCTTTTGCCACTGCCCACCGGCCTTTGGGATGTTGGGACCAGCTCTTTGGAGATCAGGCTCTCCTGGGCCTCTATCCAGCTT